TTTTAAACTAAATTTTTTGTTAAAATTCTAATTAAAATAAGGCAATTGCATGGGCACGAAGTTCACATCGTGTTAACAGTGATCAATCATCAAGTAAACAATCAATTTAAAGTTTCACAGAAAAAAAAGAAAAACATTTTTTTTTTCAAGGTGATATTTTATTTGTACAAACAAAAAATAATAATGGATTATCAGATGTAACAAGTCTTTCAGGAAATTGTTTTAAGTAAGTTTCTTTTATTTATAGAATTAGAATTTCAAATTTTATTTTCCTAAATAGAAATCGTTCTCGTCTTTCAGCATTTAATTTTATTGGAAAAGATAAACCACCATTTGCTCATTCACCTAGTAGTCCTGTGCATCCCGATTATAATGGTGTTATGCCTAATGTACCAAATGATCTTCGTTCACAAATGCATCAAAGAGTTTGTTTGATTATTATTTTTTTACAAAAATAATTAAATAATTTTCTTTAGAATGGTCTTTCTCAATTACTTGTTCGACCAAAATCTTCACCATTTGCAGGTCATTCGGGTTGTAAACAAGATTTAATTAGTATGAATTTTTTAAGAAATCAACAAACACAAGAACAAAAACAAACAAGTGTTAAAACATAATTATATTTTCATTTCTCTCTTTTTTATTCAAATAAATATTTAACGTATGTCATTGAATACATAAGCACCATTGCATCATTTATTATTATTATTATTATAAATATATTCTTATGTTTTATTTAAATAATTGAACTATATGATTTACCTTCAGGTACTTCGGTTACTAAGAAGAAAAAATAATATCAAACATATACCATAATTGTTACAAATAAAACATCCTATTGTAAATATTTTTACAGAGAATTCTTTTATATTGATTAAGTTGATAAATACTAATTAAAAGTCATTTCAAAACGCTGGTAGAAGATCTAGATGATATAAATAAGAAAATAAAACAAAATGCGCGTATTTTTTTGCTCTATCAAAATATAAGATCGGATAGTTAATAAGAGTGATGAACGGGATTTTATATCCTTCTCTTATATTTATATTTATCGATTTTATTGCTCGTTACATTTATGTCTACACATGCTTCTTTTTTTCTTTCTCCTGTATCTCTTTTTCTTTTTCTCCTTTCTGATATTACTTAAGTAGATATAGAACACTCAAATTATTTATAACGATTTGGTAGTCAAATGTCGATAGATAAAACGCCGACGTATAGGGTGTGGGTGTGGATAACCTTCCATTTTATACCGACACCCACACCCTTATGACGGCTTATCAGTGTAAAATGAAAATTATACGAATGTGTGGGTACATACTTTGAACATATGACTCTAGCTCTTCGTTCTTATTAATATGTATTCGAATTTTACCTAATAAATCATTAATTTAATTTATTCATGCTGCAGTTTTATTTTTTCAATATCAACTTCTTTTCATTGAATTTCATGATGTCGACTTTTTACATAGTCGATATTTGACTACTTTCCCGTTATAACTTATTAACTTGATCGAGAAGCAATAAAATATATATTAAAAAAATGATGAATTGGATTAAATATTAATCAAAAGTTTTGAAAAACTATCATAGTCAGCATTTCGATAAACTCTGCATCAACATCAGTTTCTCCATATTACAGAAATCGCGACGATTTCGAATTATATATTAATTAGAGTCGGGAACAATTTCTACAATTTTTTTAAACGTGATTATACATATTTATAGTTCATTCTTTTACGTTGTCATCACTGTGATATAAACAAGATTGAATAATTAAGAAAACGACGTCTTAGATTTTATTCTAAATAATTTTATCAACTTTCATTAAATGTAAAATTTCAATATTTTGAAACAAAATCCTCGATATTAATAATTACCAATCAAAAATTCTGAAGTCAATAGTAAAATTAAGTTTAATTGCATTAGTAAATATATTTACAGTACGGTGAAAATCGATAATTCACAATAAACTACTGATCATTTTGAATAAAAAACTAAGCATTTAATTTGCACTCATTACTTATTAGTATAATAGACTCATAGGTTTACGTTATTAATATATATATTTATTTTATGTATAACAAATCCATTGTATCGATAAAATTTATCTTGGAATTTAAAAGTCCTTGATAAATTATATATTTTGTTTTTTGTTCTATTTTTATAAAACATAAATCCATGTGATAGCTCGTATGAATAGAAAAGAATAATATAAAAACAAAATGTGTCATTACGTCAATAATTTTTTTGTACATGAAAAAACGATTCATTTAATATGTTACTAATCTAATGTTTATTTACGTACTTAGCAAGTTATATAGATAATTATGGCAAATGGAAAATTACATTGTATTAAATGTGAAAAAGACAAAGCAATATTAAAATGTTCTGGTTGTTCACAAGATTTTTGTTATAATCATTTTCTTGATCATTATAAAGATTTAAATAAAGAATTTGATGAAATTGAGTGTAATCATGATACTTTACGAGAATTATTAAATGAACAATCAAATCATCAAGAAAAACATATTTTAATCGAAGAAATAAATAAATGGGAAGAAGATTCAATTAAAATAATTCAACAAACAGCAAATAATTGTAAACAAATGATATTTCAATATCGAGCAAAAACTATTCATCGAATGGAAAATAAATTAATAAATTTAACTAATCAATTAAAAGATATTCGTCAAGAAAATGATTTTAATGAAATTGATTTAAATCGTTTGAAAGATAAATTAAAACAATTAGAAATTGAAATTCATAAACCAATAAATATTTCACTTCATCATGATTCAATAGCACTTATCAATCGAATATCGATTATTATATCATACGGTAAATATTTTTTTTACATACAGTAGAACTTCTGTAACGTTGAGGAAACCAATAGAATTAAATATTTTACATAGCTGTAATTAAGTTTAAAATTATTTTTTATTTTTCTTTTCAAGGTATTTTATACAATACTAACAGAGAAACTCATAATTTGTTCTTCAATTCCCAATAGGATAGACTATATTCACTCTCTTTTATTGAATTAATTTTTTGTTCTAAATTATGATCATTTCGAGATGTTATTATATGATTAGCGAGTATTAAAAATAACAATTTTGTGATTATCTTTGTATTTATTATACATAATCTTGTGACCAATAAAATTCACAATAATTACCTTCGTAATATTAATTATATAATATTTTATGTGAGTGAGACGCCCTCTATTGATGTTCAAAGAGATAAATATAATTAAACTGATATATGTATTACAGTTCAAATTTTATTCATATAATCATAATAAATATTGTAACGAATTAGTGATGTTTCATTATAGCTGTAATATTTGTGATCGTAATAACGAACTGAAGAAAATAGTGTTATCATTATTCTCAGTAGAATAACGTTAATAACGTTACTCCAGTAGTGTTCATATAGAAAATACAAAAGAGTGGGCATTGATAAAACAAGGTGAAACCTAACAAGCAATACATAGATGACAGGAACAATAACACGTTAAATATTGTACTAAATTACATAGACAATTTATCGACGGTATGACCTTATATCATCGATTGAGATTTTTCTAACGTTCAGGATGATGTCATCGATATAATACAGTAGAAGAAAAGAAAGAAAGAAAAAAAAAAGATATAGAAATGAATTATATTGTTAACATGAAAGTTCTTTTAATATGTAAATATTACATTCTATATCGATTAAAATCGTATTTGATAACAGCTAATTTTATATGTAAATAAAAATAATTATATTCGTAGTAAATATGTAGTTCGAAATGATATAGTAAACTTAAAAAATCGTTATCGTATTTGTTTTTTACAGAATATTTTATTTCTTGTATTATTGCCTTGAATATAAATCAAACGATTTTTGTATTCGTTAATCGTCTAATATTTAATTTTCAAATTAGAATTCCCTTGTTCGTTTGAATCAATGTAGAAATTGAATAAAGTCGGTTTTTAATGAACCATCAATTATTTTCATTTATGAATTATTCTATTTAATATTAATTTCTAGGAAAATTTAAATCTTCGATGAGTATTCAAAAGAATACTACATGGAAACCAGATGCATATACGATTGCTGGAGGATATGGAAAAGGTGATCATTTAAATCAACTTCATTGGCCCTATGGTATTTGTATTGATGATGATGATGAAAATATTTATATAGCTGATTCTTCAAATCATCGAATTGTTAAATGGAAATATAATGAAAATTCTCATGAAATTATTGCTGGTAGAAATGGAAGAGGAAATCGAATAAATGAATTAAATTATCCAGCAGATATTATATTAGATAAAAAAAATAATTCACTTATTATTTCTGATCGAGATAATAGACGGATTGTACGATGGTCACTTCAAAAAGATATCGAACAACAAATCATGATTTCCGATATTTATTGTTCACGTCTAACAATGGATTATAATGGAAATCTTTATGTATCTGATACAGAAAATAATGAAGTTAAACAATATAAACAAGGCGATACACATGGAACAATTGTTGCAGGTGGAAATGGAAAAGGTGATCAACTTAATCAACTTGATTCGCCTGGTTTTATTTTTGTTGATGAAGATGAAACTATTTATGTATCAGATTGGAATAATCATCGAGTAATGAAATGGATAAAAAATGCAAAAGAAGGTGTTGTTGTTGCTGGTGGACAAGGAAAAGGAAGTTCTCTTGAACAATTATCATATCCTCAAGGAATTCTTGTTGATCATTTGAGTAATGTATATGTAGCAGATTCATGGAATCACCGGATAATGCGATGGTTAGTTGATGCTAATGAAGGTAGTATTATAGCGGGTGGAAATGGTAAAGGAAAAGAAAAGAATCAATTTCATCTTCTTGGTGGTATTTTATTCGATCGACAAGGTAATCTCTGTGTTATTGATGTTGGCAATAATCGAGTTCAAAAATTCGATCTTAATATAAATTGAAACTATTTGTTTTTTGTTTTAATGAAAAAATTGAATTTCAAAAAAAATCATTCGTTTTGTAAATTTTAATAAATTTTTCTATTAAAAAAATATGAATATTTAATAGTATTTCATAATAGGTACATCATTGAATTGAGAATATCATTCAATAAAAACTAACGAACAAATTTTAGAAGGAAAATATAATTCTAATGTATATAAATAATATATTTTATAAAAATTATCGAATAATATATCAAATCTATTAGTCACAATCGATTAATATAAAATATATTTTAAACATAGATCCATCTCAATGTATTGATGAAATATCTATCATGATTACTATTGGGAATCGAACAGTTACGCACGAAGAACGATGAGCACGGAAAGTTAAGCACGAAAAAGAAAAGAAAAACATGTAGAAACGAGTTTATTCATATTTTATGAGAAAAAAACAACACGCACAATACTTATAATGTAATATTATTTCGCCAATGAATCAAGTTGAGTGAGATGAACTAATTGTTTTTCAAAACGTTCATTCTGTTGGTGGTTTAACGATTTCATTGGTTATAATACAAGTATGTAGGTCAGAATGACATAGATGTTTTAAATATTTTATACAAAGTTAGTAGATCGATCTTTTATATAAGAATAACCATTGAAATCTAATTGTAGTTTTTGTTTTATTCTACCGTTCATAGAAATAGTGCTCGTATTGAGTAATTATGAACAAGGTTTCGAATGGAATTCAAAAGCAAAATCAGAGGTGCAGAATCTTCCTCGTGCACCCCACGCGGAGATGGAAATTTTTTAAAAACTGTATTTTTCGGGGAAATTTTTAGGAAATTCAAGGGAATTTTTTCAGAAGAATTTTCCCGGGAAGATTCTGCACCTCTGTAGGAAAGAAATCAATTTATGGCTTAAAAACAGAGTGTTAATTTTGTTCGTAGTGTACTGCATACATTTTATTTTCGCCAGCAACGTGTAAACTAGCGTATATTTCAAATATCACAAGTGTTTCGCATATTTTTCTTCTGCTGTGTACACTTGCTATTCGAAACTTTGATTATGATTGTCAAAGAACAGCTGTTCTGGCTTTTGTTTATAAGAATAATATGTTCTCTTCTGTCGAGTTATTAGATGTTAATAATTGAATGAATTGATAGACAACTGCACTTTGTATGTTATTTTGTTTAATTCGAGCTGATTAATATAAACTGGGATAATCTCTGCTCATGATAACGTAGTCTTTGGAAAAATTTTTCTTAATACATAAGTATTTTGTAAAGTTAAAAGCAAAATTAATTGTTTGGTACATATATTTATTTCCACTTAATAGTTCACAATTAATTAGTCCAAACAAAAAAAATATAAATTACAAAAATAATATCAAAGTTCTATAATTCATAGCGCAACAATAAAATACAAGTTTTTTGTAACCCAATTATCCTTTTGTTCTTATTATTCTCATGCTTAACTTCCCACTCTTATTTTTCCGTACTCCACATTCACTAATCCATTACTATTAATATATTTGTTGGATTGTGTATTAATGTTCTTCCACTTGTTGAAATAAAAAAAACATGATCATGATATAAACGAAGGTTGAACAATGAATAAATTGACATTAGTATTCATTATTCATTCTAATGATACATATAATTATTTTTATTAATATATAACACCTACAGTTAATCAATAAATATAATCGTATTAATTATTCTATTCATTTATTGATAGTATTATTTTAAGAATAAATGAATTATCTATCCCAAAGGATTGATGTATAGGTATATTATACGTATCAATCAATACATTATCTATATTTATAATTTTTTTTGTTCAATAGAAACAAAACAAAAAGATTAGGATATTGAATAATTACATTTTTGTTTTTTTCGAAATAAAAAAAACAACAACAACCTATTTTCTCGAATAAATGTATATTGTTTTTGTTCAACGAAAAAACAAAGTATTTCTTTATTGTTTAATTTATTCTAATATTATTCATATAAATATTCTATTATTGTCTACGAATAAAGAGTAAAAAAAATAGGTTAATGTCCCTTATCAACACAGATGAAAATAGTTATAAACGTCAACTGTTTCTTTGTTAATTCAAGCTATTTGTATTTTCATTTGCGTTTAATAATAACAGAAATCTCATTTTTATTTCCGGTATATTTTTCCTATGAACTATTGTTTAATCAATAATAAAAGGCATTAATTCCCACAGGAATATTCTTCTTGATTGTTGGAGAAAAATAAAAAAAAAATAGAAAGAAAGAAAGTACTATTTAGCGAAAAAGAGAATATGTTTCATAATGGGAAATACATTTTGTATATGATATCGAAGTCATTTAGTTCGAAAAGTAAGCTGACATTTATAATAATTCAGTAAAAAAAAAATTTTTTTTATATTAAATTTTTTTATCTATAATAGAAGAAATATATATTTTTTTCTTCTTTTGATGTCATTCTATGTATTCATTGAAGAAAGAATACTAATTATTTTATTCTCTATTGTTGATTAATGAAATTATATATATATTTTTTTTTCTCTCTTTTCAGAATATATACAGATAATCTACCCAATACTATCAATTTGAATATTAAATTCTCTTTGTAATTATTTTATCTATAATTTCTACGAACAACATGTTGGGTAAACGATGTAAGTTCTTTTTTTTCATCGATTAGAAATATAATATATTAAGTACAAATTAAATCGATAATTACGATATTGAGTTTTAAAGTGTTAAGATCATATTAGAGCCATGAAAGGGACATCAGCGAAAGAAAATGGAGAAAAAGTGACTTTCGTAGGATTCAAATCCACACCTCCTGCTATTCGGACAGTTAGACTAGAAGGACCAACTTAATGTCTAGATTAGTGTCGAGTGAATCAAACAGGCGCTAACATGAAGTTAGCATGATGCAATGAAAAGACTTAGTTTTATCTCGATTGATTCAGTATAAAGTCTTAATCGTATATATAAGAAAAATACGATTGAATAGTTGAAAGCTCTAGTTATTCATTTTTTTCATATAACAACTAGTAATTTTTAACTATCTGACAACGTCATTTAACTTGAGAAATATCTTCGATGTCTTTTGAGTACGTTTCTAATGTCAATTGTTCTAGTTGTTATGTCCTACTTTCTTTTTGTTTTATATTACTCTTTAATTCCCTTTGCTATAAATAAAAAAGAACATTTATTTTCTTTGCCGATCGAACGATATCTTTACTTAATTACAATAATATTTTAAACCATTAGCATAAGTTGAAAGTAAATCAAATCGTAGAATAAATCTTAATATTTCAAAATAATCGAGTTTATTTCATTGATTAGAAGTATAGATGTTTTCGATCAGTTACATAATGTTTCATTATATCTTTAAAATAAAACTGTTTTATAAACTTCGAAAACTTTTTTAATTCTTATAGTTGACTACTACTAGATAGTATTTTTGGTGCACTTTCATTGGAATAGAAAACTTAGTTTGTTATTCTAGATGGAATTAAAACGATACTTCTATGCAAAAAAAAATGCTGTTAGCGTATTCCCTGACGGGATTAATACGTGAAACATGATGTAGCAGTTTTTTCTAATCGGACGGAAATTTTTTAAAATATCGTTTTATTTATCCTTGCAAAACTGAAATTAACACATACCTTACATTAATAGTATTGTAAAGTCGATATTTGTTTGTCGGAGTGGAAATAGGTATATCTGCGATGAATATTGGATTAGCTAGTTAAACTTGATTAATTAATAAAATTTGTCTCACGTCTGTGCGTCTAAATTTCTACTTCAATACTTCTTATAGATCATGCTTTACAAAAATATGATTTTTAATTGTAGTAGCCGATGGATGTCGATCATTTGTATCCGATACTTTTTTCAAGTATTCGACTGTCAAAATGGTTGAAGTACCTAACTCATCTATTGCTTTACTTCATCGTGTCATTCAATTGATTATTTGTGCTTATACCGCCCTGTAAGTATATCTTTGATTAGAAATCTATCTGATTGCAATATGTATACCTTCAGTTATATTGTCTGGTATGAAAAAGGTTATCAGGAATTTCAAGAACCACGTGGAACAAGTGTTACTAAAGTGAAAGGTGTTTCGTCTGTTAATGTCAAGGTTCCATCCTTTTTAGCTGGTAAGATATTTTATTGTATTTAAATAATACTCAATCTATTTGCATTTCAGGCAATTATTCACGTGTTGTATGGGATACAACAGAATATGGTATTCCTCCTCTGGTAGTAAATCTAATAAAATGAACATTTAATGATATTAAATATTTATTTAATAGGAAAACAATGCATTTTTTATTGCAACTCATCAAATTGTTACTAACGATCAAACCGAAGCAGCTTGTCCAAGTGTAAGAAATAATAAATCTCTCTATATTCAATAATATTTAGAATGAAAGACATTTTGCATCAGATCATTACTATGCGCGAAGTAATCTTTGGAGGACGGATGTTCGTAATCCAATTTATTAAAAGATCGTAACTGATTTATTCTAATATTAGCAGTGGTTATAAAATAAAAACTTGTAAGTCATCATACCTCTAATAATCAATTGTCAGTGTTCGTTATGATATTCTGAACAATTTTCAATATGAACACTCTGTTTTTATTCGTATATCGTGGTGCGAAATGTCTCATTCTTGATATTTCTCTATCATTGATAAAATCTCATGACCTTCATATATTTGCTTAAACTATAGGCCTTGAAATCTAAACTTTATTGCGATGCGAATAGTACTAAATGTAAAATTGGTAAACCAACACCAAGTACAGCTGGTAAATTATTTTTCTTTTAATAAAATTTTAATATATATAATCCATTGTAGGTTTTTTTACGGGTAATTGTGTACCAAGTCGAGAGAATAAAACTCTCAATGTTTGTGAAATACGTGGTTGGTGTCCTGAAGAAATGAGTGCTTCGGCGTAATGTGCTCGTTTTTTACTATAAAATATATTTTACAGTTTTTGTTTTTCATAGAGATTATCAAATAAGTATCAACGATTTAAAAGGCTTCACTATTTTTATTAAAACATCAGTGACATTTAATAAATTTAATATACATCTGTTTGTTTAACATATGAATTACTAATTATTTTATCTAATCTTTTCTTCATTTTAAAGGAGAAATATTCGAGACGAAACAAATTTTTCATGTCGTTATCATAAAATTAAAGATTCACGTTGTCCTATTTTTCTTCTTGGTGATATTATAGATCAATTTGAAACAAATATACCAGCTCTTATCGATGAAGTAAATATTAAAAAATACAAATTTAGATTTAAAATAATATCTATTTAGGGTGGTGTAATCGAAATCGAACAAAAATGGACATGTAATTTTGATTATAATAAAAATTTATGCTTTCCAGATTATACTTTTCGTCTATTACAAAGTGGTGACGAAAAACAATCACCCGGTATTAATTATCGGTAAGTATTATTTATTTCGAAAAATATCTCATGTAAATAAATCTATCTAGAATGGCACATAAATATCGTCTAAACGGTACTAATTATCGAATTTTATCGAAAGTTCATGGCCTCCGATTTGTTCTATCGATAACTGGTAATGGTGGAAAATTTAATCCACTTCAATTGTTTCTTGCGATTGGTAAGATTAGGATCGATTATAATATTTGATAGAAATAATTTTTTTAATTTAAAGGATCCGGTATTGGATATACGGTTATTGCAGGACTTGTATGTGATTTCATTATGATGCATGTGCACAAATCTCGTGACAAATATCGTGCAGGCAAAGTTAGCTTGGTTAATGATATTGTCCTTCAATGAACTATGATATTTTAAGAACAATATATATACATATATTTGCTTATTTTTATTGGAACGCTTCTTTCTGCATATTTCTTTAATTATTAAAAAAGTTTTGAAATATGTGCATTGTGCCTAAGAAATATTATTATTTACAAATAATGATCAAAATCAAACATATTTTAGTATTTTAAAAAAAAATTTAAAAACGACTTTTTCATTGTTTGTTTTTTGTAAGATAGAAATAATCTTGAAGATAACGTTTAAATAGATAAATAGAAAAGAGATTTTATGGAAGAAGAAAAAAATACTACGAAAAACATAATTATTCATAAAAAGAAAAAGAGGTCTGATTACCATTAAATATATGTATATATAATATTAAGCAACATCAACCTCAAAGATTTGTACTCGATCATTGCTACAATCAACAACATACAAACGACCTTCTCGATCAATTGATACACCTGTCGGACAACTAAATTGATATGGTTGTTTACCTCTACCTTTTTCACCAACAACTGTACTTCCTTCTGTTGCGCCTCTTGACCATCGTGATATTCGATGATTATAACAATCAGCTACATAAGTATTACCAAAATGATCAACAATAACTCCTTCAGGATGAGATAATTGTGCGAGACTATTTCCTTGAGCATGTCCACCAGCAACAACAACACCTTCTTTTGCACCTTTTACCCATTTTACAACACGATTATTATTTCGATCAGATACGTAAACTGATAAATCTTGATCAACAAAAATAAATGTTGGAAAATTAAGTTGATTAAGATGATCGCCTTTCCCATTTCCACCTGCAACAACTGTTCCATGTGTAGCACCTTGTCTATATTGTTTAACTTCATTCTTTTCCGTATCAGATATATAAAGATCTCCATGATAGTCCATTGTTATACCACAACAATTTATATTTGATATCATCGTTTGTTGATTTGCACGATTACGACGAGGACATCGTACGACTCGTCGATTTCCATAATCACAAATAATAAGAGAATCACTATTTTTATCAACAATAACATCTGTTGGACGATTTAATTGATCCATTCGATTTCCTTTTCCATTTCCACCAGCAATAACTTGGCCACTATTTGCACCAGATTTCCATTCAACAATACGATGATTTCCAAGATCAGCGATATAAATTCGATGATCACTATCATGAACACAAATACCATGAGGACAATAGAGTTGATTCGCTTGTGTACCATATCCGTAACCTCCGGCAATAGTCGACCCATATTGTTTCCATTTAGTATTGAGTTCAAGTTTTTTTGAAAGAACTAATTTTCCTGGAAAAAGAAAAAGAATATTAAAATATAGATAAGAAATTTTTTTACCAAGATTAACTGGAGTATTTTCATTAAGATAAACATGTCCACGTCGATATAATGCATTTATACTTAATGGTCTTTGTGTACGATTACTTTCTTCAAAAACATCAGCTGCAATACCTTGAAAAATTTGAACAATATCTTCATTTGGATTAGCAATATGTTTAAGTAAATGTTTAGTAAATAAACCATTTCGTTCTTCATCTAATCCATCACTAGCTGTTTGATCTGCATCACATGCAAATTGAATAAATGTACCTGCTGGTGATTTCATTGTATGTAAACCTTTACCCTCAAAAACAGCTAAAACAAAATTAATTAGAAATTTTCATTTTTTTCTATTAAAATTTCTTTTATACCTTTTGGTTTTGGACTTTGTTTTGGCCAGTATAATCTACAACAATCTAAGATAAATACAGTTACAAATGAAGGAGTTTTTTCTGCTAATCGTTTTATTGTACGTTCAACAGGAACAGCAAAATCTTCTACATCATCTTCCGTTTCAATTTGACCATCATCAACTGGCATTAAATAATTTGTACCTTTGATTTGATAACCATGTCCAGAAAAATAAAATAATACTAAATCACCATCATTTATAGTTTTAGAAAAACTATTTATAGTTGAAACCATTTGTGAATTACTTAAATCAAGTTTTGTTGTAACATGAAAACGAATATTAGTTAACACATCACTTAAATCATTAGCATCATTAATACAATGACGAAGTTTACTTTCTGGTCGACTATAATTATTATTTCCAATAATTAATGCTAATTTTCGACGAGGAACTATAGTTCGATGAGTAGTAGCCATTGAATATATATATATATTCCAAAAATAAAAAAAAAAAGATTTACTTACAAACTAAAATAAATAAAAAAATAATAATTATATATATTCTTAAACTTTCCTCTATCTCTCAATGCAATACAAGTTAAAAGGTCACTCTACCAAAGAGAAAGAAAAAGAAGAAATTTTTGTATTATTTATTATGACTCGAGTATAGTATTTATTATTGATAAAATAAATATTAACTTGGTTAATTCAAGTCATAATAAAGATACTTCATCTTTTTATTTCAATGAAGTAACAACCATAAATTTTACAAACTTGTTCAACTATGAAAATATTTCTTCTAATAAAGAAATATAAGGTTACTTATTGATTTTCTCTTGAAAATAAACTACAAGTACAAGGAGATATATATGTATGTTATACACCATGTGTCTATTTTATTATAATGATGACAAAAAAAAACTGAAGGAGTCATGTTAACGCTACATTTGATAATTATGTTCATTACACTTCTTCATCACTTGAGTTGTTCTTACTATACATAATGTATAGGCTTGTATAAAAGAGGAAAAAAAACGGAGTAAGAGAAAAAGAATACAAGTACAAATTAAGCACATTGTCGATACATATGTACATTGATAGAATAGAAGAAAAAAGAAATTATGAAAGTATATCATTATTGAAGCGTTTTCATATCTATTTGTATGCATCATGAGCATAGATGTGAGGTCATATAGCACGTTATCGATATACTCTTATATCTATATTAAACAAATAAATATAACATAAAGAATGAAATTAAAATTTTATTAATATATTTTCTATCTTAAGAAATATTGCTACCTTAAATCCTTTTTTTGTTTATAATACATATATCTCATCATCTTAATTAAAAAATTTATTTTATTAATTTTTTTCGAAAGATTATATATATTGTAAGATGGGAATCATATGAGATTAAAGTAAATTGTTTTTTTTTCTTATTCATTTTGATGATTTTCTGAAAATGATATGTCTAAATTCGCCGTGAAAGACTGCATCGATTGCACCTATTTTTTCAATTAGAGTGGTTATGGGTCAGAGCGTAGAGAATATTCACACCCTCAAGATTTTGTGCATGCTATTATGATTATTGTACAAATTGGAGAATCTGAAAATTCTGTAAATAGGTCTAGCAATTATCAATAGATGATTTTATAAATATGAGAATATAAATTTTCTTTTAATATTTCTATTCTTATAGAACATAAATAAACTTGTCATATTAGAGGGTATGGCTATTATACTCATGAAAAACTGCATCAAATATTTTATAAAAGAAAATCTATCATAGAAAAAAATTTGTATTGCTATTTGAAACGTGAAGATCAAAATTCGATTTATCCTTTATAAACTTAATTCAAAGATGAATCGATTCACGTTATTTAGACTTATTTTGAACATTTCTATCTAATACATTAGCTTAAAAATCATGATAATTCACACCTATATATGCAATACTTTGCTGATCAAGTAGATTTAAATTAGACTTTTTAAATACAATTAAAATTTAATTTCTTAGTTTTAAAGATAAATTTTATTAGTTTCTACTGCTTTCTTCAATCAGTTTTACAAAATTTGTTTTATGATTTATTTATCTTGTAAATATACCATCTATCGAAATAAATTTATTAGAAAATTTAGTTTATTTAAAGTTTAAACTTGTACTTTTTTGCTTTTATTTATTGAAAAGTATTGATAAAATTCAATTTCTTTATATACAAAAGTTTTTGTGCTGAATAACGATTTGTTATTGACCAGATTTGATTCAATGAAAAAAGAACGGTTAACGTGCCTCTATGGCTCAGTGGTAGAGCGCCAGTCTAGTAAACTGGAGGTCCGCAGTTCGATCCTGCGTGGAGGCATCTAATTTTTTTTATCAACTATGTAAGAATCTTGATAAAAAAATTATTTATTCATCAGCGAAATGAATTTATTTTTTTTAATAATAAAAATATATTTTATCTTCTTCAAAGATTTCTTTTATAACATCTTTTACATTATTCTTCGATATATATATACACATTTTTTTTCTTTTCTCTTTCTTCTCCAGCTGTCGCCACATTTATCTTATTCGAGAGTTATATAAATGGACTAAATTAGTCATAGAAAGATTTCATATATATCCTTTAAAAATCGAAAGATGGATTGATTTACACGTATATTTGAAAATTCGAAAAATAAGATAATCTTCTATTCATTTGATAAAAAATCGAAAATAAGTTTAAAACTTCAACATTAATCTTCTCGTTTAAATCTTAAAATTACTTGACAATAACTCATAGGATTTACATTGCGAATTGATAAAATATTAATTACTATAAATTTATCGATAATTTAATAAAATATTAGTCTTACTCATATTGGAAAATATAGCCAGTATGGATATCGATATGAAATATATTTAATCATCTCTCATTGTTTTACAACACCTTAATTCATATTCTTAGTATCTATCGAGTCTATGTAATATTAAGAGGTACTGTTTACATATATTTAAATTTTTTCTTTTAATATAAAAATATTAAAGTTGAATGCAAAAACTTTTATTTTTTCATATATTGCATTGAATAAATAAAAGATAATCTATTTGTTACCATTTCATTAATTAAACAAACAAATGTACTAATATTGACTTGCATAAACACATAGTTTGTTTTTGGCCGTTTCTTCATAAATAAAAATAACATCTTTAAGTATGAAATGCTTAATTCCTTCAGATTTAACAAATTATTCAAAAGTTGCTTCACTTTTAGCGACAGTTTAATCGTATGAAAAATATTATCTATGAAGACAAGACCTATTATGAACATAGTGTTGTTGTCAGAAAACAACTACTAAAATAATCTCTTATATTTGTGTTGGGTTACATTGAAAAAATAATAATTATACGTATTAAAATAATGTTAATAAGCATTTGTCAACTTAGAAACTTTGTCCTGTATGTAAAACGTTTCTTACTGAATATATTTAGTGGTATATTTAAGTAATTTAAACGATAAAAAATACAAGAGTTAATCGATTTCGTCAAAACTAGTAGATGAAATGAATGCAAGCTGAAACGAAAGCAAAGTTGAAAATAAATGTTTTGTATGACACAGCTGCTGACGCGATGATTGGATATGGCTGCCCTTGCTGTTGCCACTCGAGATAAGCGTTGAGAACAGCTGTCTTAGCTTCCATAACCGCATATCCATTGGCAGAATTCGCTGTAATTAAAAGTGCCATTGGCTGAATTAATTGAGGGTAAACTACAACATATGAGTACCAAAGTGTATTGGTGCCAGTGTGCCATAGCGATAAACCGAGATTGTCTCTATTATTAATCATACCACAGAGTGAATGCTCAGAATTGGAAACGGAAGATGAAGGAAAAACATAGTGTGTATGAATGTTTTGCCATACAGATGGTGAGAGTAAATAAGACGAGATCGTTCCATTCAAAAAGCTACTGTTCATAGGAGTAGAACCAAATGATATTAGATCACGTCCTTCTTGTAAATGACAGGCAATAAATTTAGCCCAATCATTAAGGCTTGCGTGAACCGTACCTGCAGGTCCCCAAGATTTCGGGATATCAATATCACTACTATGTAATATACCAGCTTCATCCATATAATGACCAAATGATTGAGTAGCGAAAGAATTCAGTGGTATTTGTTCAATTGGTGAGCCAAATCCTGCTGTGATCATTCCTAAACGATTAAATAGTTCATTTTGAATAATTGATTCCCATGGTAAATACCATATTTCTTCTAGAATTAATCCTAGTACAATGTAATTATTATTCGAATAAGAATAGTTGGCAGGAACATTAGTTGATGATGGTGGGTTAGAAATAATCATCGATAGTAGGATACTTAAATGATAGCGACGTGAAGGTAAAGAATAATTGCTACAGGACTCCTTGGTACCATTATTTTCTAATGTTGATTCGTGAATATGGTGTTCAATAGAGTATGCCACATCTAACTCATCAAGGCCTGAAGTATGAGTCAGTAAATGAGCAATAGTAATATATTTCCATGAGGTGTGAATGGCTAAACCACAAGAATAAGGAGACTTAGCGAAATAACCATCGACATTAGAAAAATCACTGCAATTACATGTAGTTAATGGTGGTGTTGGAGTTGAAGAAAATGGTAAATATGGAAAGATATCACCAATAGTAGTAGCAAGGCTTAACTTTCCTGCTTGAATCAACATTTGAATGAGAATGGCTGTCATAGATTTAGTGTTCGATCCAAGATGCCATTTATCATTGATAGTTACTGCTTCTGGAGTTACTGCATCAAAGCGACGAATACCAGATACTATCGTTGATACAGGAATAAATGGGCAGATTACATGTGCTGGTGATTGAGCGCCTTTGTAAGATTGCATTGAAGGTGTTTGAATAATCGAAGCACCTATAGCTGGTACGTCCTTATATTTACTTTGAATAGCTTGTAATATGGAGAGTATCGTCTCATTCAGATGAATAGTAGTGATAGGAACTGTATTAGTACATGGTGATCCCATCAGTTGAATGAATGGAGCAACAGTACTACTGAAAATATTAGGTGCAGCTAAAAGAATAGGAAATGATCCATTCACTGTGGCAAACTTAGCACCTGGAGCAATCCATGTAATGTTAGTGGAATTTGTAGCAAATAGCGCAACATTGTTCACGTCTCCATTATTAGAGACAGCATACCAATAGGCGACATGATAGCTAATACCGGCTGTAAGATTAACTGGTCGATCGAAAGGTAAAGACCATGGTTTAGGTTGCTCATTCGAGAATTGGAATGCAAACGCAGTCATTGTTGCCGTTTGTTCGATGAGCATGGATGCAGCATCATAAAGAGCGGCTCTGACAGTAAGAGAGACATTATTCTGTCGAGGAAACATGACAATAGCTGTCACTTGAACAGCATAAGCAAGTTGAAATGGTGTCTGGAAAAAGAGATCGGTGGCAAGGGTCTGTGCGTAGGAGAAATTTGATGAAATAAGAGGACCATTCGATAGGAGAACTTGGGGCACACCCAAAGTGGAACAAAAGAAATTTGCAGCCAATACTGATGAAGTCAGTCCAAGCCAACACCAACAATAAATAGTTACAATCAAATAATGAAGATGCATTCGTGAATATAATTGTAAAACGAATTTATCAACTTAATCGTGAATGAAACAAGTAAAATGAAGATAAAATTATAGAAGTTGATGAACGATTGTAGTTCAAAAATCTATATATTGTTTGTATGAAATAATATTTTAAGATTCAACAATTTATAAACTGAAGAATTTATAGTAAAAAGTAAAGTTATCAGTCTATCCCTAGATGTAAATAACAAAAATATATGAAATTTATTAACTCTTTTTGTCGTTTTCTATTATACATGTTTTTTACAACGCACGTAAACATCTTTCAAACTTACCGTTAACAAGAATTTATCTTCATTTTCTGTTCTTGTTTTGCTTTAAATGGGAGTGTGCTGCATGTGGTGACATCAAATATTTGTTTTTTCTTTCGTTTCTTATTATCATGACTAATGTAATCTTCATCTTGATAGTGATAAAATATAATTTTCGTTTGTATGCATTGACTCATATGACAGCATACATGCATTATCTATCGTGTTTTTTTCTTCACTTTCTTACTAATACGAGCCAATATAAGCTTAAAAGATTTATATCATGATATTATTCTGAATACACGTTATATCCTTGACAAGAAGTAGAAACGAAATTTGATATCATTCTCTAATATTTTGTATAGAAATGATTTGTATTGTCGTAAAATGAGGTATTATTTATTAAGAAATATTGATGTAAAAAAACTGTAAGTATTATAAGACATGCTCGATATACATCTTTGATGCACGTATGAATAAAGTTTTTACCTCTTTTTGTAACATATGTGGCAAACTTGGTTGTGACTCTTGTGTAGTCACTTTTAGAAAATTCTATACTGAAGTCAGTGATTACTATTCTTCGTAGATGAGTAACATGAAATGATTTTTATTTATTAATAATTAGTTCTAGATATTTAATTTTTAAAGCTAGAGCTTATAAGAGTAACGTTTGAAAATGAAGAGAACAACGCGAAGATTCTTGGCATTATGCCTTTTTTCGCGGTAAGAGTGTTACTACTCTTGTCTTCTTAACTTCTTCATGAGATTTACCAAAATATCTCTCTGTTGCAAAGCTCCAATGAATAAAGCCAATAGCCCATTGTTCTACTGCAGCTAAATAGGTTGCGACATCTTGGTCAATTTTTGAGCCCCACGAAGGAATCTTCTCCTTTTCAGATACATAAGCATTGAAACGCTCTTTGACACGATCTCCAACAAAATCTATGCTTTCTTGTAGTGAGCGACCTTCTCCCATACTAATAATGACCAGATTGTGAGTTTCTCCCCAAGCTTGTTCAATGTTAAAACTGTAGATATCCTAAAATGAGATATTCGTATGTATTATAACCGCTAAAAACTCAAATTGATGACTTACATTTGCCCAACAGCAAATATCATTAATGTAAAGCGCAAGCTTTTTCATGGTAGGGTTATGAAGGACCTCATCTGGAACATCGAGATTCAAATCATACTGGACCAAATCATAGACACTTGACAGTGCGCCTGTTTGACGACGCAGCTTAATGTAGCTATCGATACTAAGATCGATATCCTTTGACCGATTAATAACTTGTTCAACGGCAGCATTAATAAAGTTCTGAAAGTGTTTAACGAGACGTTGTTGACATCGTTCAGTTGCCGTTTCATGAATATCTAGCATGAAGCTTCTTAGCATGTCTGCAGGTAAGAATGAAGTTTTTGTAAATGTCTCGGGATCGCGCAAAACATTTATGGTAAGATCAGCGGCATGTCTAGCATCTTCTGAACTTTTGCTCCATTTACCATTATCGAAATAGTCATCATAAATGAACACCCATTGATAATAATTGGCTAAGACATAAAGTCGTTTGGCATCTGCCGTACAATGTCCCATTGCAGCAAGTAAAGGAAATTGCGCCTTCTTCACCTTTTCGATATTATCTATGCCATATGAATTCAGCCACTGTTCGGCTGCTACTTTTGCAGTCTCGTAGTGTGGGTTCATCTTAAATTCGAATGGACAGTGCTTGATGAGATCTGGCAGAACAAATGTCTCCGTTTCAGTCATTTTACTTTGTGTATAGAAGAGCTTGTCAAGTATTACGTTTGGGCACCGATCTTACTAGAAACACGTAGCTAAAAAATAAGAGATCTTATATATGAAAAGACAACCAATAAATTCGTCTTTTGTCGGTGTTTCTAATCGAACAAGTTCGAGATTCTCTATACTACACCTGTTTACATAATAGACAACTACCATGAATATACAATGTAAAAACAGTATGATGCACTGTTTTTTTTTTAATTCTGTTACACTACGCACTCAATGAACTATCAAAAAAGAATATTAATAGTAAAATATAAATCATTTAAAAATACAGAATCTTCACTTTTAGAGCATTAGGATAATACTTCGGACGTTTTTATTGTAGATCTTTAAGCTAGTAGATGACTTTAGACACACAGAGGTGGTAAAAGTTTTTCGTACGATACAGTATTGATTCATCACAGCAAAATCTGTTCCTGGCATATTAGCTAGTGCATGTGTCTGTATACATGTACATAGATTCATAGAGATATATTAATCATAAATATAATTATAGAGAAGTAATTCTACATTTCTTCTTAACTGACTGTACAATATAACCATATTGATACCAATTATAGTCACATTTTTATAATAAAAACACTAAATCTAATGCGCTCTCAGTGAAAATTTAGTATCTCATGAATTCGTGTACATACTTCTAAAATAAAAATGGACATCTAACCATCTTGTTATTTTCTATTACGAATAAAATCTATAAATACATTACTTACCTGTAATGTGCGTTTTGTATAGAGTTTATTTTTGAATAAATAAAAATCCCAGTAAGGTAGCTTCATTATATACTGTTTGGCCTACCATTTCATTCTTTCGATATTTTCTGTTTTTGTCACTTCGTTGCTTCATATGTTACCTACACTCTTTGATGATCACCAGTTTTGTGTTTTTTATCGTTCTTCTCCTTCTCACCCACATAGATATACTCTCTAAACGTATGCAATCATATGGACAAATATATCCATAGATTACATCATAAATCTATACAATAATAAACGTTACTGCTTCGACAAATAAAAATATTACACATATATTTCAGACTGAATTTAACCACTCAAATTATCATCAAAAATCTGATGTGCAATTACATTCTCTATCGAGCCATATCAGTCGAAGCATATTGACACATTTTTTTTCGCAATCTATCAAGAAATTAGCGACATCTTGAGAGTGAGTGAGAGTATTCTATTTTCTGACCCATTTGATACTCACACTCATACCCTCAGCAATATTCCATCTAACAAATACTTCGAAATGGCCTTCAGCTATTAAAAACTGAAATATTCTATTTATATTGTATCTCGTATTTGATGACGATGCAAATTCTCCTATATCAACGTCCGAAGATCCAGCATTTCTTTTACAACAGTTGTCGTGATTATTTTACTTCAGTAAAAACAAGCGTGACGCAATCAATTCACTACTGAATAGTACATTGTTTCTATAATATTTTAGTATCGTTATCATATCAATGGTCTACAGATTATTTGACATATACTCAGTCACATTTGTGTAAGCGTCGTAGTTTGGCAGAGTCTTGAGGGTGTGGGTGTGGTTGTAATGCTGATATACATTTCATACTGCGCCCACATTCATCTGATATGGAAATATACAATCAATGAATACCAATTGCAATAGCTCAGAAAATATCTATTAATAATTAAACATTATTTAACAGTTGTTTTATTTTATCATAAAGTCTTATTGACTATCTAAATAAACAAGATAAAGAAATAGAATACTTCCACTTATAGCTTTGATAATTCAGTATAAGAAACTGCTGGTATCTATTTTTAACGAGAATCAAAGAATTGATCAAAGATTTGTTCTGAATGGTACTGCATGTCGTAGCAATATCCAATTCACATTTTATATATTTGATCAAACGTCCGAAAATATTCGTGAATAAACAAATGTCTACTGAGGAAAAAACTGGTTTAGCTCGTTGCATTACATTTTTTTATTGTTTAAGAATTAAGAATAGCTTTTATCCTGACGCTACATGTGCTGCCTTAAATCAAAACAATGTTTTGAAGCACAAGCAAAAAGGAATAGTGTCTAGTAGTTTTGTTCTTTCTTCACAAAACAATGATGAAACATATTTTTTTACTTGATTGTTAACAGTTATCTTTTTCATATTATCTTCAAAGCCATACACATAAAATAAAATCAAGATTTTTTTTTCGTTGACTGAAGTTACATTATTTCAAATTTTTGATGGAGTCTGGACGTTTCTTCAACATTCATACGAGTTGTAATTCTTTTACATGTGAAATTAAAAAAGTAAGAATTCGATTATAAAAACAAGATTAATAGTCTAGAAGTAATATAGTGATAACAGATAATAAAAACATGAAGTTTTCTACCACTGCTATTACTTTTAGACTACCTTACGTATAATATTAGCAATACATTTAGAAATCTTGTTATCAGTAGCAACGAATCTAACATTTATTTAACTACTGTATCATATATTTAGTAAACTGGCGATTAAATATAAGAATAAGTTCATCTCGTATCTGCACCCACTATTTTATCGATTCAACTGATGGTTAATCACAGTGTTGCCACCTCTTCTGCTTTTAGCAGAAAAATTCTGCTTTTTGAGGATTTTTCTGCTTTCTTTCTGTCCTTTCTGCTTTTTAAAGATTTTTCTGCTTTTTTAAATATTAGATTATTCATGTTTGTCATGAATAGTTCCCATCTAAGCGATTATTTTTCTAGTCTAAAAAGATAAACTTTTACCAACAATCATTCATGTTACTATTTTCTTTTAGTTTAACTTCAATTACATATATCTTCTGTTTTTTAGCGGTCTCTTGTTTTTCTTGTTTCCCTTTAACCCTTGCAGTCCTAACAGTTTCTTGCGTTGTGCATAAAAACGAAAAACACGAAAGTCTCTATTGCATACAATCAGTTGTATCTGAACTAATTTGATTTCTAAGACATAAGAATCGAGAAAAGGCTGCTGCTATTAGAACTACCACGTGTGATAACTAGGTTAAACACTAAACGGTATTCCTCTTCCAAAACGACAGAACGAGGATAATACTTTTCGCGTTCTTTATGTCATCTATGAGGTGAAATTTTAAAATTAAAGGGTTAATAAAGATTCAAACTAAATCTGTAATTTTAGATTATTATGTTAAATCTAACAAGGGACCACTCTCAGGTGCTGATTCGCTTTTGAGTGAGCGCTTAAAATAAGTGTTAAAGTCTGTTTACGTAAGAAACATGATTTCTGCCTTTTCTTCTGCTTTTTGATGGTGAAATTTCTGTCATTTTCTGCTTTTCATAGTTTTTTTTCTGCTTTTTGCACTTCAAAAGGTGGCAACACTGGTTAATCATCATTAATACATCCTTCATTTGACTTAGAATATATTTTAATCGGGATATGAAGATTATATATACAGATAATCGTATTATTACTAAGTCAAAATCCATTATGTACAGTAATAAAAAAATGTATAATCTGATTCTACTGGCAAATCCCAGGTTTCCGAGTATTAGAGATAGGACTACTAAAATAGTTTTATTATAAGTGGGACTGAAAATTGATCACTTCGATAGAAAAAAATAATTAGTATACGGTGTGAAGATCTCTGGTTTTTAGAATGATATGACTTTGTGGCAAATTCAGATGTAGGTTTTATTTGAGAAAGCATCGAACGTACACAAATCATAGGATAATACAGCAGGAGAAACAAGTGTGATTATCTTTATCAAACAAAGTTTTTGTGCATTAGTATGCACAAATATGTAGAGTGAAAATCAACGAGAAATGGTTATCAATGAATTTCAAAAAGCATTAATCTATTTTTTTCTTTTAGATAAAATCTTACAGCTATATATATGTCTAAAGAATTTAGTATTGTTGTTTGTGGTTCAGCGCGTGTTGGTAAAAGTACACTTGTTAATGCTATTTGTGGAAGAGAAGTTGCTCGAACAAGCGGCGGTTTATGTGCTGAAACCGATCGAATGGACAAATATGTTATCAATCACATTGGTGGTGCAAGTTCAAATGAACATACTATAACGATTTATGATACTCCAGGTATTGAATCATGGACAGAAAATCATGTTCGATCGTATTTTACAAAAATTATGAACGAAAGTAAACCAGTTTGTATGATCTATTGTGCATCACCTGGTTCATATGCTCAACTTGATCAATTACAATGGTTGATTGATACTTGTATTAAATCAAATATATTTTGTGCATTAGTTTGTACGAATAAATATTGTGGAGGTTATGACAGACGTACACAAGTATTGCGAGATTTCCATTCACTTCTTATTCGTTATCATGGCATGACACGAGATGAAGCAAATATTAAATACTATGGTAATGTTGCTTTATGTACAGCAGTAAATAGTATTGTCTATGAAGATAGAGAATTCAATGTAAGAAAAGAAATTGAAGGAATTAATGAACTCATTTTTGGTATTTTAACATCTTTAAAAAATGAGAAAATTGCAGGATGGTGCTACACTATCGCGAATAATCGGCCATTTTGGGAGACTATGCAGCCGAAGATTATCGCATTTTTCGAAGTAGCAACACCAATTGCAATAAAAATTATTGATAAACATGGAATGGATATTGCAAATGTGCTAATTAATTTAATTCTGCTTTCAATTAAACGCGGTCGATAACAATATATCATCATGTTATTGTCATTAACTAATTTACGATTCATTTTTTTCTATAATATAATACTGGAATGTATTTTACAAATAAAATTTTTTTCCAAATTAGCTTTTTTGAAAAGTTTATGCGAACTGTCAACTGATGAAGACAAGGTTCGCTCGTATACAGTACCATCTTGAGAGTGATGACGATTAAGAGAAGATATATAACTATGCTCATACTCACACCCACACCCACACTTTCAAGATAAAATGTCAATATTTATGTATTTATTCAATTATTTTGAGCAAATGTTCGAGCTACAAGTAACGGAAAGAGTATTGATGCATCTCCAAACACTTTAACTGTTTGTGCATTTGGACGTATTTTAGCCCATGAAACAGCTTCATCTAAATTGGCTCCACTATCTGATCCATCATATTCCATAGCTGTATTAATAACAACAGCATAATCAGCTCCTGATCTCATTGCATTTGCATTAAAAATATGATGCTTAACAATTCCTCCACCTAAAATTAACATTCCTGTATGTAAAGAATTAATTGCTAACATATTTATTTTTTGTATATCTTCAGCAATATCAATTTTTAAACCCGGACTTTTTAATGAATGAAAAAAAATTAAATCACCAATTGATCCATCTGTTATGGCAGGACAAAAAACAGGAATATTATTTTTCCATGCCCAATAATAAATTGATTCTTCATTATTTATTTTTTCACCCATATATTCAATCATTTTTGATGGTGTCCAATTAATATTATTTGTATTTTGTTCTTTAAGCATATGATCTAGAATTGGCATTAGAAATTGTTCAAATTCTGAATAATTATCATTTGGAATTAATAAATTTCCAATTCTACTAATAGCTTTTTGTCTTAATTCAATTCCATTTAAATTAAAATCACCATTATATGTTGATGCAAAACATTTGATAATATCTTCTTCTATTCCACCAGCTGTTGTTACAATACAATCAACTTTTTTTTGTTGTACTAAATATCGAATTATTTCTCGATTACCACATGAAACCATATTTGATGTATAACCAAGAAATATTTTACAATTTGTTTCCTTTTCGTGTTTCTTTCTTATCATTAAATTTACGATGTCAATTGCTCGTGCTAAATTTGTTGCTTGAAAACCTTGTTGTAGAAATGAATCAAATAATGTTTCATATTTAACACCCTGATTAAAATCATAACCAATTATTGGTTTACGATTTTTAAGATAGGTTTTATCACTTTTTTTAAATATTGATTCATGAGCTGCTCTTCCAGCATTTGCCATTTCTTCAACTCGATATACATGATAATATCTATGAGCTTGAGTATAAAATGTTTCATCTAAATTTAAACAATTATTTATTTTATTTAAACGTTCTAATTGTGATTATTTTCATAAAAGCTTCAAGAAAATGTTTGAAAAAGACGTAAGTTTTATATCTGAAAGCAAACGAGCAGGAAACTGCAATTAAGGTATTTAAATGCGTTTTCATTGTTACAGTATATATACTGATACTTGAACTACTTACTCATACTCATAGACAACTTTCGAATTCATAATATATTAGTTTTATAGATTAAGTAGGTTAAAACTTCCTTAGAGTGTGACAAAGAGTCATTTGCATTACTAGGTAATATCATTCTTCTTCTTTTACTCTATTAATAGGACGTTTTAGGTACATGAAATAGTTAGCCTTCTAAATTTAATCAATGACGACTACATAATATGAGTTCTTAACGTAAATAGAACTTGTATCCGATATCTTGATTATGTTAAACTGTGAGTGTTTCAGTATGATCATAAACAGATCATACTAATGAAACCGATTTTTTTTCATGTTATATTCAAATTAATAAAATATAAACTCACCATCAATAGAATCAAATCTTGCCACACCATGCGTTTTGCCCATACTTTAACAATATTGATTTGATATCGAAATGTATATGTATATATAAGGAATCATAAACATATTGAGATCAAACCATTCATGCATAACAAGTATTCGTATCGATACAAAATTTATCATTATAAAATACAATGAAATTAGAGTTTATTAAATACAAATCAATATATTTAAAATCATGTGCAAAACTTATTAAAGAAACTTGGACAATTGATGATGAATTAATAAATCCTTCACAATCACGTCATTTATATTATTATTATATACGAAATTGTGTTGATAATTCAATTTATACACAATTAATTATTGATAAAGAAACCGAAAATGTTTTAGGTATTTTATTTGGTAGTAATCAAAATCAAACAACATATAAATCATCTATAAAAAATTTTCGAAATTTCTTAATTTTATTTAAACATATTATTTTCGGACATCTTGGAAAACGTTTTATTGCATTAAAATATATGAAAGATACATTAGATTTAGATAAATGTATTGAAAAATATTGTGAAAATTTTGATAGTGAATTAAATTTATTTGTATTAAGTAAAGAATTACAAGGACAAGGTTATGGAAAACAATTAATGAATAATTTTATTGAATTTTGTAAAATTCAAGGAAAAATTCATAATATATTTTTATGGACTGATATTAGTTGTAATTATGGATTTTATGAACATTATGGATTTAGATTATATAAACAATTTTATGATGATCGTCTTACGGATCATGATGATAAACGAACTGATAAACCAAATGGATTTATATTTTGTAAAGAATCGATTTAAAATGTTTTTTCTTTATTTTTTTATTGAGTTTCAAATAGTGTTGATTTCTAACAAATATTTTTTCTAAAATAATACTATAGAATTAGAAGTAAGACTTAATTCTTGATTGATGACGTCCTTGTTTTTAATCGATAATGGCCTTGTTTTGATATACGTATTCTTCTTATTTAGGTAAATAACGTCCTTGTATGAAATAAATGACGAAGGTTTTCTATGTATTTTAACCTATTTTATATGGTCTATTGTTACGATTTTCTATTTTGTCACTTTCTCAATTAAACAAAAGTAATTGAAGCGACTATGAAGATCTATTTTTTTGATTAAATATGGTCGAGAAGAATTTTTTGTTTGATATGAATGATCCTAAACATAAAGTTTTAAACTTAAATAATTACATGACAGTATGAGTCATTTTGACTTGAAAGAATATTAATTATCTAAAATATTTAAGAAGATGATTCCCGAGTATGAAATGAATGAAATAACCACAGTCTATTTTTAGAATTATTAATACCAAATTATTATTTTTAATATCAGATAGTCATATTATATAAACAAAATTGTTGAAAATATGGTTGGATTAGATTCAAACTTTTGATCTATTTTCAATTTTGATAATTATATAGTTCCTATTGAGATGACGCTTGTTTCCAGTATACAAAACAAAACCAGTTATAATATCAACATTTATTTTTTTTCTCTTCCTTTCTGTTGTCTATTATCGCGTGCACATGTAAACTATCACAGAACTGCAAGCAACGTGAATTAAGTGTCAAAACATACGCATTGTCAAATAAATTTTATCTTGGTTTAAAACTCAATCAAAGCTATACAAAATCCGTTTTTTCGACCTGATTCATCAAATTATTCTTTATTGATAACATCAACGGATACTAACGCACGTCAGCGACTGTGTAATTCAGAGAATTTTCTTGTCATTTGGCTCGAAGGAAATATTCATAAAACAACTGACAATCTGGAATTGAAAGCTTAGATATGATCCATCGTAAATTACTCGATAACATTCGATATTATAACTCGAATCAATCTATATTTTCTGTGTTGATGTATTTAAACATGAAAAATGAAGTAAATCACTCAAAAAGATACGCGGTACTTTTCATGATCTCGGTGTAGTTTGTGATCAATAAAATATATACATATATCAGTACATTTTTTCTCTACTATGATTATCCATTTATGTCTAATAAATATTTTAAGAAAATTTCATTATAAAAAGTATTATTACTCAAAACAAGAAATCGATGAAATTTATTTTCAAATTCAATTGAGTTGCCATATCAACCAAGATTTTATCAGCAAATACAAAACAAATTATGAAATATTCAATCTAATATAACCATTTTGAAATTATATAGATTTTAAAATACAAAATAATTATCTTCATTATTACTAACTGATTTACATATCAAAACAAATGCACATATACATATAAATAGTACGTTCAATTTGCAAATCTTCAGAGAGAAAACTGTGAACGCAATTTCTATAAGATTAAAATGTGGCAAACGATATGTTTATTATTATTATTTTTCTAAAACTTGTCTTTTTATGCATATCATGAAATATACGTCGGCATGATTTCCTACTTTAGAGAACAAGTAACGCTCATCCGAGAACTCGCTTAGCTCTTTCTTGTTGAAATGCATTTTCTTCACATTTATTGGAAAAACAAATGAAAACTGTGAAAAATTGATTTACGATGGTTTTTTGACCTTTCACCCACACCCACCCTCTTCACCCCCTCACCATGGTCACCTAGCACACCTCAGATTCGAACTCCCCCGCATCGAAATACTTCTAGAAATATCTTTTTCGAAAAATCGATTTTCGATGTTTTTTTGACCCTGCGGATATACAAGCAAGCAAGCAGACAATTTATATTTATTGAACTCTTCTCTACGAGAAAGAGAATAATATTTTAATAAAATCTGAGTTATACATTACTTTTGGTAATATCATAGACCTGTCTATGACGATCTACGGAAAAAGGGAGAGAGCCGTAGTGATGAATACAAATATCTATTTCTTAAATATTTCACAAAAAATAATATATCTAAGGTACATACGTTATATATAAAATGAATGCAACACAATAAAAAGAAGAATGTACAAAGTATTATTAATCGTAATATTTTCCAAACTATTTTTTTTTAATCAATCTGAAATTGAGAATTAATAAATATTCTTGCTTGATTCTTCTCTCGTACACATAAATGAAATGGTACATGTTCGCAGGTAGAATTTTCACCATTATATTTACATTTATATGTTGATTTTGCTCTATATAATCCAGCACCACCAAAAGCTGATCGTACTTCAATTAAACCATATTCGATTGGAATATGTTTTTGATGAATACCAATAATTAGGTTAGTAGCTGATTGATAACAATAATTATTTTCAGGATTTATTAATTCGCATATTCGATGCCATACATCATAATTCATAACTGAATCAGATAATGTACGTAACGCCCAAATATCATAATATAAACCATTCGTTGATGTTGTCATTACTGACCAATCATTTATATTATATTGAAAATTTGAAAGAAAAGAAGAGATTTTAACTGCAAATATATCTGGATCAGTAACAAAAATATAATCAGCTTTTAAATCATGTGCTTTATCAAGTAGGACATTACGACAAAAAGCAAGACGATTAGTACGATCTGGATAGATTCCTGACATCTTTGCATATGCATAAACTTGTGCACGAGACAATTGATAAAGTTTTTCTACTGTTTTATCATTTGAATCACTTTCCAAAATAAGAATACGAGATGATGGATGAAAAAGATCAAGAATTGGTTCAATATGACTCCGATATTTATCAATATAAGATTCAATATTACGTGCACAAGCTATAACCATTAATCGAAGAGAATGAAGTTGATGAAGATTATTTGCATATGACAAATTTGATAGTCGTCGAGGTAAATTTAACTGAGGATATTCACGTTCGAAAAATGGACGATTATCAGACACAGTGAATTGACGACAACTATTTCTTGGAGTTATCAATAGAAGATGAGTAGGATTTGTAGAAGTTGTATTATCTGATATTGAGAATAATGAAGTCAAATTTAAGAATTCTGTTACATAAATAATAACAATAAAATTAAGACAAATAATAGTTGCTATAGGTAATAAGTATTTTAAGTAACGACGCAGAACCATTTTTATAATTAATTATGATTAGTCTTTATTCTTATATCAAATTTCCACAAACTATTTCAGCGTTGTTGATTAATTATAGTTTTTGTTGCACTAATGAATATGAAACAAACAAATATTTATTTATTGTAAAAAATAAATAAAGTATTAAGCGCCGTCCGGTGTCAACAAAAAATACCGATTCTGAAATTCATCCATATTTAGGTAGCCTATAATTTATCGAATTTGCGATGGTTTTTGAGGGTTCTACAGTGGGTTTTCTCAAAAACTTACATGAAATTTTTTTGTTTCGAAAATTTCAGTTATCAAAGCTATTTGAATTTTTCTCTATACTAAGTTTTTAAGAAAAAAATTTCAATAATCAAAGTGAAAACTTATCTTGTGTTTTTCTCGAAACGGTTTTTTTTACATTTCAGCTGTTACTGTGACAAAGATGTCTCCACCATTTTAAATGCTAGAGAAGGTTTTAAAATGAAGCTAAAGCTCAGCACTACAACCTAACAGAGCCGGATTTGTTGTTTTTGATTTAGTTCTTTATGAAAAAATCCAGTTCTCTAAAAAGTTAACTTCGATTTTTTTCAAAAAACCGGCTCTGTTAGGTTGTAGTGGCAAGTGTTTTGTACATTTTGACACCGTTCCGAGGTCCATATCATTAAAATTGCGAAAAAAATCTTTGACACAGGGACACCTACTTTTTAGCTCTTAATTTTAGCATAACTCTCGCAAAGCTCAATATTATGAGCTCAGTTATTTACTGAAAACTACCCAAGGCCAGATACATATTCAGTAAGGTTGAGTGCTCTGTAAAAAAGACAGATTTTTGACCCAGGGGGGCCCTTAAGGCAAATTTTTCGAAATCAATTATAATAATGTATAATATTCAATAACAGATATTAATATGAGTGAATATGTTCTATTTATTCATCATATATACTTATCGAAATCAATACAAATAGTTTCCATTTTTTCTTTCCATAACAGCTTTTTCAAATAGTTATGTTGAATTATCTTTACAATGCAACTAGTACAAATATTATTTTAATATTTATCATAGTGATATATTTTTATTGCAAGTTCAAATCTATTATTTTAGTTCTTATATTACAACTGTCTATAATCGAGTTGTTTTTATATTATCTTTAATATAAACAAACTGCTATATCTGCATTTAAAAAATAAAATAAAAGAATGATTGAATACACATTTATAGATATTCAGAAGAGATTAATATTATAATAACATATGTTTACGATGATAGTATTCTATAATACTTCATTTTATGTAAAAAAATTAACATCAATATATTTTTGCAATAGAATAAGAACAGAAAACAAAAAATGTATATATTAGAAGAGTCTATGATCTTTTTCATTTCAAACTCAATATTGAAAGAGAAAAACATGCGGATCTAGAAATAAGATCCAAGTCTAGAAGAGGTTAGCCAATCTTTTACTTATCTCATCATATAAATAGAGAGATATGTAGACCCTTAAGACCTGCATTCTTAAAAAAGGATAAAATACAGAGTATATATAATGATATGAACGGCAGCAACTATTTAAGACTCGCTAGATTTACCTTTCGAACGCTCATTTTTTCAAAAAATTAAAATTAAATAAACCATTGTATGTCTTACGGTTGATGTTCTATCCTTGGTGAATGACCTTATAACGTATCAATTTGTGTATATATACATTGAAGACGAAGTGGTGGTGTAAATGTTTATTTGAATATAACGAAAATTATACACAATAGTACTAAACTACGCTCCAACTCTGTCTACGTTTTTTTTTCATCTTTTTATATATACATTCACTGTCCTTCGCCATAAAAAGAGATGGATGTGGGTAGCATGAACTAATAGAGACAAAAAGGATAGCAAAAGACGTCTGAAAAAGGGGGAAAGAGACATTTTGCACCAACTTTTCATTAAGATCTTTCGACATAAGTGAAAAAAGACAGGGTACTTGAAATGATAAAATCAATAAAAAATTAAAAAAATAGGGTGTTCGTAGTGAAAGTTATTTCGAAAAAAAACAATTTCCGAACACCCGGTCATATGTCCGGCAGTTCGAAATGTCTTTGTCTGGAAAAAGGTTATTAAAGACAGAATAAATGAAGGATAAATAAACGAAATATACAGAGGATAGACAAATGAAATATATGAAGGATTGACAAAAAAAATATACGAAGGTTAGATAAACGTAATATACCAATGATCGATATACGAGATATATGAATTAGAGCATTATGTGAGGTATATATATGGATGGCACTTTACTTTTTCAAAGTAAAATAAAGATAAAGTGCCACCCCTAGGTATACAAGTGTTTTACGTTGCATTTATCGTATTTAATAGATATGAGTAAAAAAAGAAAAAAGCATAGTCTATTTTATGAAACAAAGATCAATATCAATATTGTTACAGACCTTTGATCCTGTATCAGTCGAACAGTATAGACATACTTAGTTGACTCAAAATAAATTTGAATGATTGAAAATAGTCGAGAATAAATACAGTGACAAAGACTGTCTCTGTTTGAATAAGAATGATAATAAAAATCCTTATTGGGGTAATATCTTTTATAATTGCTACAATTCCACCTATCACAACTGGTATTCTTCTTAGAAGCATACGATCTATGTAAATACGAAACGCAAAATCAATGGGTTGAAACGTGGTGATAAAAAATTGTGTCATCTCTTACACGTATCTGAAAACTATTGAACGTGTTCATTTCAGATCTAACTTTATACCAAGATTTTTACTCGAGAAAAGTTAACCAAGAGATTGAAATTGTCAATTTATATATATTTTATTTATCTACATTTTGTTAGACGATTCAATAAAGAATGTCAAGATAATATCGAAATAAACAAAAATTTTATTAAACATAATCTATATAATCCATATTTCTCTAATCTTTCTATAAATAATAATCACACAATAGTTTTCAGATATTCAATGTTTTTTTTAAGAAATTAATAAATATATCATTGTTTAAATTATGTAATTGACGAGTTTTATCATACTTCTATCAAATAAATTGTTCTAAAAAATAATTTATCATTTTATAACTACAGTTAAAAAGTTTTCTTAATATTATTCGCATTTAGCGGGCAATAAAAAAAAGAATATTATTATAATAAAAACAAATTCATAAAATTATTTTTGAAAAAATAACCTAAAAAGCTTGTTATATGTTAGATATTTTATATTAAGTAACTAAGAATGCATTTTCTTTCAAAAAACATGCCTGAACACAAGTTCAATTACGAACTCATTCACATGCGTTTCCGATCAATAACTATTTACATAAGGAGTGTAGGACAAGTATTGCCTTTTATATGAATGGAGAATAGAACACGAAACATTTCATTAGAAATCTATATATAATGAAAATAATGAATCACATTTTTGTCTCTTTGAATAACTCAAAACAAAATTATTTACTAAAACTCACTTCTAAATGACAACTATTCTACAATATCTTGATTGCGAAAGATGCATGTCTCATATTTTGGATGTGTAAAATAAATATTTGTGACATTTGGTAGAAGAGAGTAAGGAAATATTAAACTAAAGAAGAAAAAAATGATTATGATGAAACTAGTCAGAATAATCATTACCAATCATATGTAATCATTGATAATTAAATTTCTGTTTATGTCAATCTTATAAAAAGTAGGCATTTTGTATAAATGAACAAATTTTTATCGTTTTTTTTCCTTTCTTTAAAATATATGAAATAAATAAATTTATGCCAAAAACTGATCCTCCAGACATAATACAAACGTCTTGTTGCATAAAATTATTCGTAAATCAAGGCCAACAAAGAAAAAGCTACCCAAATATTCTTATCAATTCAGAAAGCAAATCCACTTATACTCACCTGAAGAACTTGAATCATATTCTATGATTTAACTTTATATCTTATAAATATTAAATAGAATGTTTGCTGATAATTCATTGATCATCGACTCATTTAATCAATAATATCATATTTTATTTAACTTATTCGAATCATCTACTCTCACTTTTTCCCTTCAATATCTCAACTTATTCAAATCGAATATATAAGATATATAAGTTTGATTTTCTTTTATATATTCATAACTAAACTATAGATTCGTAATGAAATCATCAATAATAGACTTCCGTTTTGAATGTTGTGTGAAAAAGGATTGAATGTAGATGTGCGTAATTATGTGTTCGTGAGAATATAGTGTAATGTGTGCGCCATTCTTAGTCATATACCCTATACACTTATACATTCATATCAATAGTTATGTTTATATCGATCTATAGTCACTTAATTCATGTAACGAATTGATCAAGAAACCTAAAAAGAATGGTAATAATACTATCAAATAATTAACTGTCTATGGAAGTTAACTTGGTTGTTTGTATAATTACTATTATTTTAAATCATGTCTGTATGTTTATGTATATGAAAGTAGAAATAATAGATCAAATTTACGAATTTTACTATGTACTTTTTCATATTCACCGAAGTTTAGGTAATTTAGCAATCATAAGCATTTCTTGCACTTTTTGTAGGCATTGCAGAAAATATAAATATTTCAAAAAACTTATATTCTATAAAGACTATATTCCAAAGGAATAAAATTCTATACACAACTATTGATCTTCTTCTTGCATAGATATTGACAGATGTTTCCATTTCTGGTTGTTCAATGGAAGAAGATATTATATTTTTTACAAATACTTTTGATTCCAAAAAAAAAAGAAATATGTCGCTTTGTAGAGAAAACTTTCTTCTGCAAACTAAAACATCCATTTTGAACTCGAGAAATCTGTAAGAATTATAAATTCAATTGTTTATATAAAGTTAATCAATTTTTTGAGTTTTATCATCCATGTATTTATTCGTAAATATGAGGTAGTCATTGAAGTTGAGATTATATGATACATTCGAATTCCAGTCCGCAATTGATGTGCGATAGTGATTCGACGATGATACGCTCACCTTCTTTGTGAAAATCTACCCCACCTTGAGTAAGGGCCTCACTCACTTTTTCAAGTGAATCAGTACCGAACACCAGTTTGAACATACCCAAAGGTTTGTCGGTCTTATGAACAAGTGTGATTTCAAAATTTGATAAGTGAATAATACAAGTATTTGCTTCAGTGTTCTCGAGCTTGACGACGTCCATCGCACGAAGATATAACTCGGATGCCGCCTTTGGATCGTTCACATTGATACTAAGTCGAGTCATCCTAATACAGCCATTTGTATGCGCTTGCCACTCGGGACGCCAGACCAATTCCGGTGTAATATGCTGACAGTAGAAGACATCGCTACCGGGGATAGAATTGGGTTTTAAGGTAGTCACTCGAAATTTAACATCCGCCATTTTGCCATTTCCCAAATCTAAAGGTCGCGATAGATCGAGGATTGGTTGTGGTGTCAATCCACGTGCTATGAGTGCATCGCGCATCTGATCAGAATTATCGACTTTAAGCGCCATACCTGCCAAACCTGCGGGTCCCTGGACAAACTGTGGGAGTTGTTCTAATGACTTGCCTGCTGGATATCCTATCAGTTCCAGATAGTCAGTCTTGAAAACGATGATATTATTAATAGAACCTATAGAATGATAACCGCGTGGTGTAATAATGAAGCCCATACGTTCGAAAAAAGCTACTGCTTCATCAATACGGTCTTGAGTATTAATAACAATATGGTCGATGCGGTTCATAGTAGAATATAATCAAAGTCTTCTGAAATTATGATTTTTGTTGAAATCTTAAAATAAACATTATATCCAGTATATCGAGTTCATTTTCGTTAATACAGCGTATGCTTGATATAACTATACGTATAATTTTATTTAAAAATACTATGATATGCTAATCAAGTCTATTCAAGGCGACTGATATTATTTGCGAGATTAAGTTAAGAGGCTATAACCGGAGGAAACTGTTGATACAAAGACCTATGAAATAAAGAAAGTTGGTATTTGTCTGTCACAAATTGTTAGTACTCAATGTTGTTCATTTCCACATAACACTCTAATAACTCATTATTATGGGTTTCTTTTGTTACATGCCGAGAATGTTAACTACACAACATATCTATTCTTGATTAAAAAAATACTCACACGCTGACTATGAAAAAGAAAGAAAAGGTATGTCTACATATATGCACGTATCGATAAGAGATAAGTGGAGAGAAGAAGCAAAGAATAAATATCGCAACTGTCACATAACACGCCTTCGATGAATGAGACGAAGAAACAAGAAGAGGTGAAACGAATAGAAAGAAAAAAAAATGAAAGTACACGATGAAGAAAACGAATTCAAAAGAGAGTGATAGAAGAAGCAAGCGATCGAATAAATGCATGTTCGACGTAGAAAGAAAAAAGTTACAATATCTTGCGGATGTAGATGTGATTACGATTATTAATACACTTGAATTACTAAGAATGAAACATTTTAGTCTCTAGTTTCACATTTACACCAATTCATTTCCAAGATGTAACGAGCTTTTTCTATCAAACGATTTGTATTTCAAGCAAAAAAAAAGATGTTCAGAAGTTAAGAGACTATATTACACATATAAAGTCATAAATACTACAATCTTGAAATAAAAATTAGTAAGAGTGAATAAAAGTGTCGATTTCTAGTTGGCATTCCTAGACACTCATAGTTACTTCTCATAAAATGAAAGAAAAGATATATCTACACATTCGCATTTCTTGAAGATGGTGGTTCCAGATGATACTTTATCTTTAAAATTTTATCATTGGTTTAAATTTGAAGTATTGACAAGTTCTTATTTTAAAATTTGATTGTTGAAATACAATTAAAGTGTCATATCTAGTGGTGGTGCTAGTGTGCGTATAAGAAATATTATAATAATTCATTAAAAAATCTAATAAAAATAAATCTTCGAAAAGTATAACTTATACTTGTCTAAAATCTGTACATTGAGGAGAAGACAATTAATTGCTTTTACAAAAGAAAAATGTGCTTGTGAAAGTACACCTTTTAGAAACCCGTATTAGTCATTTTCCATTTATCCTATGGAAGAGTTATTTTTATTAGATATTATAGATGATGATTACACACGCTTTCACATGAAATAAGCTTCATGTAAAATTATGAAAAAGTGAGAGATATTTAGAAAGATACTAGAAGGATAAATCGTTATGTGGAGTAGAGCAGAAAAAATTAATTTCATAAAAGTTTTTTCAATTTTTTAATTAGTTTAATGCTTTCATTTTGTTGATGTAAATTGAATATTACTCTTCAAAAATATATATTCAATATCGTCTTATCATTGAATTTAGAAAAGATACAAAGAAAACACAAATTTAGCCGAAACTCATAAAACATCCTTTATAATTAATGATATTCAGTAGCATTAAGAACTGTGGCTTGTATTTCAGATTTAATTTTCTTGCTTTTGCTTTTATCAGAAGAACATTTTTGTCTTTCATTAAGGAAAACTTTCATGACATTCATTTCTCTTTACCGCCTACGGCTGATTCACTGTATTCTCTTATTTTTTCCTTCGTGCACTTTCACACTCAAAGAATATGTATTTATGAGCGTCTAAATTAGATGACAAGCGGAAACAGATAAAAATAGTTTTCATTATGTATGGTAGAATAATTTGCTTCAATGTGAAAATCGTTAAAAGACGTCAGTACGCATATTTAATTGCGAATGAAACTAAGTGTAATATTAAAAAAAACTGTCAGGATTGATTGTAAATAAAATCTTCATCTCTAATGGTAAACTACCTTATTTTTTTTCTTTTGATTATAACGGATATTATTCATTTTTCTCAATTAGAAACAGATTGATCTGCTAGTCTTAATTCTTGGCATTCCACTGACAGTTTGTAGAAAAAGAGACTTTTTATTTAAAACGAGGCGTATAGTTTTCGTTTGTACAATACCAACAAATCTGCATTCAATTTTGACTAGATAAACTTCATTTGTTGGCAATTATGTTCGTTGTTAAAAGAAGGAGTGAAGCTCTTTTTTTATTTAATAAAGTTTTTCTTGAGGAGGAGATAGAGATTATCGTTTTTAGACCATTACTTGTGCCTCTTACGTTAACTTTTAATGATGTGCGCACTTTCATTATTTAGCTTATTTCGAATTAAAATATTAAAAAATGATTAGATTGCGTATAACACCAGATGAAAAATAATTGCAAAAAAAAACATCCGTACTTGACACGGCCGATTTCAAACGTAGAGGAAACAAAAATAAACATTCTATATCAACGATAATTGAAACTGACATAGATTAGTTTTTGCTCTTCCCGGGTAGTTGTAGAGAAGTGCTTGAATCTCTCTTATAATTATAGTTTATTAATAAATTTTATTTGTTTCTTTGATGTATTTATTTAGAATGTTTTAATCTGAATTATAATTATAAACTCATATTTGACATTTCTCCTATATGAATCCATGGAGATAGTTCAGTTAATTCTTACACAGAGGCTTTTGAAAATTACATTTTAATTTTATATGAATAAGCGACTTAGTACAAGAAAATCTTTGAATATAATATTATAAAACCCTCCTTAGAAGCACTGAGAAATACTTTCTTTTTCTTTTTCTATTATATAGCAAACAAGTAAAAATGGTTGATGTAACTCAAATCGTTTTGATCATAGATATTATTACTATGCTGATTGTTATTATCTTATCTGCAGCCTATATTATCCCAATTATTTTTATTCGACGTTTTCAAACAACATATAACATTTTGACAGGTAATATTTGTTTGACTATCTTGATTGCTTCTGTTTTTTGGATTACATTTAATACCTTAACTGTTTATAATGCATCTGCTATGAAGCAATCTATTATTGCATGTTATATGACGGCATATTTTCCTGCATATGTCAATTGTTCAACAGTTTATGCCGTAGTAGTGGTTACTATGAATCGTTTTTTTGCAATTGTTTATCCTAATAAAAGATTCTTCAAGACGCAGGCATGGTGCTTTATTTCTCTGAGTATACAATGGATGGTAGCCATTCTAGCACCATTACCCCGTCTCATTTTTCCACTACAGGTAATTATCAAATAAGGAACAATATGTAGCCGTAAAGTAATTTGATATTTTTTAGACATGTCAATATAAAAGTCTTACACCTTATTGGAGATATGTGTATAATATACTCATTATTGTCCTACTACCTTCTATTCTCAATGCTATTTTTAATGTGTTGATAGTTAAGAATGTACGTTCATCAACTCGTCGTATTCATGTTGACATAGTTGATACAAATGGTTCTACAAATGCACAACAAAATAGTGCTCGAGATGTTCATTTGTTGAAGCATATATCTTTTATTTTCATTATATCTGTTATTGGATGGGCGCCTGTTTATCTCTATGAAGCAATTACGGCAAATCCTTCTGCTATACAATGGCTTTTTATAATGTTACAAATTTTACCGGTATTTAGTTTATTTATCAATATAGTCGATTTATTCTTATATAATCATAGTCTTCGAAAATTCTTAAAAGAAAGACTCTTAAATTGCATATGCATTAAATAAATATTTATCTATCTGTTGAAATAAAAGAATTTATAATCTTATAAATACTCTTAAGATATTTTTTAAGAAATACATAATAGTTCAATCAATTAGTTTCTTTTATTTCAGTTGAAAGTATTATTCATCGGCAATTTTCAAGATTAATTTTCCTTGTGCTTTTCCACTTTTGGATTTTTCATATAATTTATGTAATGCTTGAACACCATCTTTTTGCCAATCAAAAACTGTATCGATCAATAATTTGACTTTTCCTGTTTCGAAATATGCGGTACGCATATGATCCAATTCTGAATAGGACGTAGAAATCATATGAAACATATACGAATGATGTGAAGATCCAAAAACTGAACCTAATTTTCGTGATAACAAACGTGGTCCAAGAGTAAACACTGTGTTTAGTGAAATACTCGCTTCAGGATCATCGCCAGCAATTGTAATAAATTGACCACCACGTTTAAGTATCCGTCTAGCGGCTAACCATTGTTGTTCACCACCAACACAATCATACACTAAATCATAATTTTGACCTAAATCAAATTTAAATATTGAGAAATAGAAACATTTAATTACAATGTTTACCTTGAAGTACTTCACCGAAATCTTTATTATTATAATCAATAACTAATAATTGTTGTGGATCATCGTTTATTTCATTAGTGTCTTGAATAATCTTGTAACCTATGATTTTAATATATCAATGATTAGAACATAAGAAAAAATGTTCTTTACCGAGTTTCTCCATTAAACTAAAATTTCTTTGTGAACATGTGGTTGCAACATGAGCACCTACTGCTTTCGCCATTTGAATAGCAAACCAACCTGTAGCTGAAGCACCTCCACATATAAATACTTTACTTTTTGGTCCTACGGAAGGTGAAGTCTTGGTAAATAAGGCTTGATAACTTGTTTCACATGCTAAAGGTATAGCAGCTGCTTCTATCATTGTTAAATTATTCGGTTTTAAGGCAAATTGTGATTCCTTTCCACGAACATATTCAGCATAAGCACCTTCATCATTATGAACATTTCCGTAAACTTGATCACCGATTTTCAAACGTTTTACTGATGAACCTACATTGATGACAACTCCAGCAACATCTTTGCCAGGTATATGAGGAAATGAAGGTCGTATAATAAGAGACAAATTACCATTTAATAATTTCCAATCAATTGGATTGATTGAGGCAGCATAAACTCGAACAAGAATTTGATTAGATGATAATTGTCGAGGGACAGGAACTTCATATGCAAGAGTAAGAACATCACCTGCTTCACCGTAACCATTTTGATGAGCAGCTGTCATTAGCGATGGAATATCATCTTTAGACGTAGTTGTTGTTGATTCAACCATATTAAAAAATATAACTTTGTGTTCTATTTGTTTCTTTTTTTTCTTTTATCCTTGATAAGAACTTGAAAAAAATACGAATATTTTATCCTTCGTAGACTATACCACGATATCAAGCGAACGAAGAAAATATACACGTGTTTCATCCGTTTGCTATCATCATATAGTAGTATATACAAATATCAGAACATTCTTGTTGCTCTTTCAAGGTTTTGGTTGAGTAAAGAGAGTAAAACTATTGGTCTGCATTCTGATTATTTTTTTTGGACTGTTTTTGATATTTATTCTCGTTTTTATTTAATATAAAAATGAACATTATTATTGTATAAAGCATGTTTATTAAAGACATTGATTAGATGAATCTGTCTATGAAATAATTTTCTTATGTTATTCTGATGTTGTAGCTGGTTGTTGCTGAATCGATAGTTGTTCAGATAATTGTTGAGTTTGATAAATAATTACTCTTTGCATCTCCGCATTTGATGGAAATTGTAATGCAGACTCATAAAATATTGTGCCAAATATTCTTTGTTGAGTTTGATCAAGAATCTTATTTAATTCATCTTCTGATGGATATTGATTTTTCATTCCTTTTAATTGCATCACTACTCGACATAGAACTTCAGCTTCATTCTTTTTCACATCAAAATTCATGGGTTCAAATTCTGTGTTGTTGATTAAATAGAATTTAAGCTCTGCATCCGGTTGAAATTTTGCTTTAAAGTACTCTAATTGATCTTGATTACTGAGTAAACGTGTATGAGAAGCTGAATCAAGATTACTGTACTTGCTGTATTGAATTGTCATTATTATTACACGTTCTGCCTGTCGTGCAGCTTTGGTGTTTGTTTTTTTAATGAGTCGAACTAATCTCTTCTTTCGACAACACCAACAACGACAGGGATCACAGCACCTTCTGCAGCAATTCTCTTTTACTCTCGGAAGAGGTAAATCTTCTTCTACATAGTCTTCATTTCGATTTGGATCTGCAGTAATGATAGTTAACGTGTTCTGAACAAGAGGAACAACTCTGTTTTCTTCTTGACAGCAACGACAACAACAACAATCACGTATTTTACGGCAACAGTTGGCTATTGAAGCACAGCAACGATCACAACAATTCTCACTAAGTTCATGCACAGGAGTAACGTGTGATTTGATATCAGCTTGAATACCTTTTTTAACATCTGCTTTATAACTAATGTGTATCACATCTTCAAGCGGTACCATAATGACCTCTTCTTCAGTACTTGCATTGTAGTTGCTCACAAACTGTTTTTCACCTTGATAGGTTTGTTGATCATTTCGTCCAGCAAAAGTGACTGTACGATTATCTTGAGCTATATTAACGTTAAATTTTCCTTGACGGTAAAGATGAACAGCAAGCATTGGACAAGTGTAGCTGTTATCTGCTGTGCGAACGCCTAGTTAAATAGATAAACATGATAACATCAAACTTAAACTTGAGGTAAGAACACGTTCAGATGATGGGTGTGGGTGTAGATGAAGTAGATACAGTGAATAATCAAACCCATACCCGCATCCACCCAGTTCATTCTTTTACGTAGAAATGTCGTATTTCGAGAAATTCTGCTGAATTGCTCAGGTCTTATTCACTACAAATATTCTTCATTTTTTATGCTATTTTCTGAGCAAGAATTTCGTAAAACTGTAGTAAACCCAAATAAGAAGAAATTATGAAATCCATCTTACCTGGATAGAAGTTAATAAAGCCGTAACGTGTCTCTGTTTCCTTAACATTTTCTCTCAAATGAATTAATGTATCAACTTGTTGTTGTACTTGTTTAGGCGGTTTACAAAATCCGCAACATCCGTTTGGACAACACTTTCTACAGCAAGGTTTAGTACTACACATCTTCCTTGTTGTGTTTATGATCGTGAGAATGACGACAATGAATCTAGAAAAATATACAAGAGTATGCGTTAATCAGTTATGAAAAGAGAGCAAAAAAAAATGGAAAATAACTTGCTATTTTATTTATTGTGCTCACAATATTCTTCTTATGTTTGTTTGGTAACCAAGAGACTTGAGAAAGATGAAGTGAAATAGAGGAATACGTTAGAAAAGAATAATGAGAAACATATTGAGTTTATATACTTTTATAAGGAAATTCTTCTGATTCATTCTTTCCTACTTCCTACCTCATAAAAAGAAATTATTCTCCGAGGGTTTTTCCCAGAACTAAATGATATTATTTTTTTTAATAACTGTTGATTTACAGAAGTGACGTAATACTGCGTCTGTCTGGAATATTTCAACAAGTCAACAGAGAAAAGGAAAGAAAGGTAGTTATGAAAAACACTTAGATATATATCCATATCCACACTTGTAATCATGTTTTTCATCATCATTCTGTCATGTCGATATAGTTATATTTTTCCGCACATTTGTGTCTTTTATAAGGAGATTTCATAGGCGATGTTTAATTTGAAACTAATATCATAGTCTGAAAAGTTTTAGTTGTGGTTATCTATTATGATTATGAAATTATTACTTTTACCGTTACGTTACGAGATGTAGTCAAGAGATTATTTTCTTCACACTATTTTTTGCGTGAAATTCTAAACTCAGCAAGGTAGTTAATGTGGTAAATTAGATTCTTTTCTATATACCGACGGTAAGATATATGAAGATGCGACAGTTTGGCTTACCCTTACTATCACGACTAGTTGAAAAAACTCTACTGAATCGATAAGTACTCGAATTCATCTTCGGCCTTTACATTTATCCATCGAAAGACAAAAAGATAATACCACGCTTACCACTACTTACTACTAAGTTATGAAATAATTTTCTTTTCTTCGTACGAGAGTGACAATGAGAACAAAAAATATCCTTTCCGATATTGAGAATGTAAGAATGATGATAGACAGGTTTTTTCCGAGAAAAAATCTGATAACGAGAGTATAGGAATGAGAATGCATGAATGATGATAGACAAGTTTCTTTTCCGGGAAAGAGTCTGTGAGGATGGGAATAAATGAGTCTTTTCTTTCCGGAAGGAGAATGCAGAAATGAATGCAAAAAAATTTTCCAACAAGAAGAATATAATTATGATGATGGTCAAGTTTTGTCTGAGATAAAAGTGTAACAACACAAGGAATTCTCGCAGAATCTTTTTCAAATTCTTAGGGATATCGAACGGAGATACCAAAGAGGTGTCACAGGAAATACGATTCATTTTTAAAATTGATTAGACTCTTCACGTCATACATATTTTGACATTTTCATTAAAAGCTGAATACAAAACAGTTTAATTTGAACAACAATTTACTTGATTCATCGTTTTACGATAGCTAAGATGTTCATGCAGACTGTTTCAACTTATAAGAAAGAAGGTATTAAATTTATTTTGCAAATAAAATAAACGATTTGCAAAAGTAGCAAAATTTCGAACATTATAAAAAAATAAAACTGAACTGTAATAAAATGAGGGTGACAGTAAAGAAAAGAAAATATACAACAAAATATGTCACCATTTCTTTTGTCAATATTGGTATTTATCGACATCACATCAAAGATTTAGTTCATATAAATTAAGTTGCTGATGGAAATTTGTGATTCGTTAAATAATTTAAAAATCGATCGTAAACAAGAACAATTAAGTGATTCATTGCGATAGGAACGAAAAGAAAGAATATATATAAACAAAGGATAACGAACAAACACGTGTACATTTCATTCTTTCTTTTTAGATTAAAACTTTACGTTCATATTAAAAACATGTCAAGAACTTCTGTCGAAAATTTGCCTAATGAAACTTTTTATGAAATCTTTGATTATTTCGATATTTATGAAATCTATGTTTCATTTTCAAATCTTAATCAACGTTTTCAACAATTAATTAATTCATCATCTTTACTGTTAAAAATAAAATTTGATTGTTTATATGTAGAAGAAACATTTACGAAGAATTACCAACAAATTATTCACCTCAATAAAAATCGAATATTTTCAATTCAAGTACCGACATCGGATTATACTTATCAAATTATTTCGTCATTTAACTTTGATTCATCATTCACATGTCTTGAATCAATTGATTTTAATGTTGATGAACCTAAATTATTAACTTTACTCATTCCCAAATTAACTTGTTTACCTCGTCTTTTCTCGTTAAACATCAACTTAGAATCTGATCAAAAAGATTTCGGTGATATTTATCAATTAATTTTCAAACTACCAAAATTGAAATATATTAAACTCGCGGTAGAACATTCTGATCAGTTCGATACGACTGTTTCATTACCAATTGCTACTAATCAACAAATTAGTCCTATCGAACATTTTATTATTGACCATGAATGTGCATTTCATGACATTTTCAATATAATATCTTACATACCACAAGTTCGTCATCTGAAATTTGTAAATCTTATTAACAAGAACGAAAGAATTGAAGATATTAAACCAATAATGTTATCAAACTTAACACATCTTTCTATTAATGCAGATGAAATTTCATTTAATAAATTTAAAACATTCATTATTCATTTAAATTCTAAATTAAATTTTTGTCATTAACTACACTAATGGAAGATATAAATTATCTTGATGCTAATCTATGGGAAGAATTTATTGTAAATCATTTACCACAATTAGATCAATTCTACTTTAAATATAGTGCACATTTCGAAAAAAATTATAAAACTGAAATGTATCTTGGAAAACGAGATCAGTTTATTTCACTATTTTGGATCAACCGAAAATGGGTGTTGCAAACTGAAATTGAATGTGATGATCTTATATATTCAATTCATCCTTACAATAAGTATATTAAACAAAAATTTGTTATATTGAATAGTTTATACATTTTTTTTTCTTTCTAGATGTAAATGGTATGACTATGGCAGACAAGACACGTTGTCTAAATCCATACGACTTATTATTGATAACCCTTATCTTGAAAAATGGTATAAACCAATATTTCTCAATCAGTCTATAAATCATGCATTAACTGTAACACAAATTGATCATTTGGAAATTCGAACACAACTTACAATTATTATATTAAATGAAATTTTACATATGTTACCTGAAGTTAATTCATTAAAAATTAGTTCTTTATGCGCTTCACGAGTAGGATATTTAACGGAGGAAGAACTTGATTTTTCTTCTTTTTTATCAACTAAAACTCAAATTAGAAAAATTTATCTTGAAAATATAACTACAATGGAAGAAATATGTGTGCTGAATTTAATTTGTTCTTCTATTAATCATCTTCAAATTGACTGTATTGATTATATGCATGCTGATATATTAGTACGAATTATTTTATCAGAAATTCGAATGAAACCTGATCATTCACTTCGATTCTTATGTCTTTGTGTTCCATCAGCGAATGATCATATGGTTAAAGAATTAGAAAAATTGATTGTTATTCTTGATCTTGTTGATTTTATGGTTGAACGTGTAATGGATAACATTTATTTGAAATGGAAATAATTCATGTATTTATTTATTAGTTCCCGTAAAAAATTAGTTCTTATGTTTTTTTGAAATTTATTTTCATGTCAATAAATTTATTTAAAATTTATCGTATATTTCTATGGTTATGAAATCTATCAATCATTCTCAATGGCTACTACCGATAAATAATTCAGTGTGAATGAAATATTACTTGATAAACTTGAAAGATTTAAGCTTTATCTTGAGGATCGGTGTGGGTCTGAGTATATCATGTCTGCAGTACCGACACCCACACCCACAATCGAATAGCAAACATGTAGATTTGTCTATTTACCACCTAATTCTCATTCTTAATTATTCGTCTTGTAACACACAAAAAATAATGAATAAAATGTTCATTCGATGAAAAAAACGTTTTATGAAGTTCATGTTCATGGAAAACTTAAACAAAGGTTATCCATTGCATATTGTTCACCATCACCGTTAACATTTGGATTTAGTGTTCCACCTGATGTTGAGAACATAGCTGTGTCTAATCCTGAATATCCATGGAATGTTATATAAGATACTGTAAATACTTGAAGTATAAAAGTATTATTAGCAATGACTGCATTTGAACGATGTCCAACTACTGTTAATTGTAAATTGTCATACCATGCTGCAGCAATTGCAGCCGAGTTTAAAGTGAAAAGAGTACCGTTGGCACCTGTCATCGTCATTGGAGCTCCAGCGTTGTTAAATGATGTAACATTTCCGCTAACAGTACCCGTAGCATATCCACTTACTGCATAACTATTGATGAAAACATCTGCATTATTCCAATTAATACCATTATAGCCATTCGGTATTGGTATCAAAGATGGTAGATCATCAAATGTTAGAAGTTTACTACGATTGCCACAGACTACATATCAAGCAATGAAATATACAAATTACAATAGAAACATTTATAAATATTTCATTCAATAATATAACAAATAAACTTTTGCTATGAGATATAAAGTTGTTTTGTATGATAATACAGGTAGCATATAAACAAGAAAACCTACATTGGCTTTCTAGTTCTCTTTATAGTCAAAATATGTGATGAAAGGATCTAATTCTAGATACTTTTTTATAAGATGAATCAAATCTATGAAAGTGGATTAAAATAATTGCTCTACTAAATACTCACCTGGGATGGTATTATTACTGCGAATTGTAGTATTCGAACGAACTAAAACAGTAAAGAAAATAAAAGATAAACTAGGATTATTATCAATTATTTTTTTATACTCTACCTGTTGTTGTTGATTTTGTAGTACTACTGATATTTTTCATAGTTGTTGTTGGTACTAAATCAAAAAAACAAATATTCATCAGAAAAAATCTCTTCAACACAAAATATAGTAAAATTTTACTTACTCTTTGCTGTAGTTGTTGTTACTATATAAAAATAAAAATAAATGTTCATAAAAATATCTTTTCAACACAAAATATAGTAAAACTTTACTTACTCTTTGTTGTAGTTGTTGTTGCTACTATCGCAAGAAAAGGTTTTTAAAAACAAAATTATTAAGAACTATTTTACCTGTTGTGTTTTTTGGACAAATTAATTTGTTAGCTAAAGCTAATGGATAACAAACTGGCTGTCCACAACGTGTACTATTGACACAGACTGCATTTTCAATTGAACATGTTTTATTATCTGCATTACATCGTACAACACTAGTACAAGGCAAAACAGCTGAAGCACAAATTCCAACAGTTGGGCTTGTTGTCAATGAAAAACATTCACAATCATGATTATCTGAACATAGGATTCGTTGAGAACTACATGCAGTAAAATTACATGTTGCGATTGTTGTAGTATCTAAGAAAAAGAAGACATAAGGAAAACATAAAAAAAAACAGTTGTCAGTGAACTACTTATTGATTGTTGCTGTTGAGAAGTTTTCCTGTTATGTAGAAGAGAAACAAAAATTATTGTATATGTCAAAGATAATATTGAACACTTACACTAAGACTATAATCGAGAATAGAAAAGTGAAAATTAAATTTGAAATTTTCAACATGATTATTGAATATTCTGAATTTGCAACTAAGAAATGATGTGTTTTTACTTTTTTCAATCTTTCTTATATAGTAATCGTTAGGTAGTACAGTAATTGGCGTCATTTTGTTATTCTAGAATAAAATTATTCTGCGCATTAGCGAAAGAACAATCAATGACGTAGATTATTTTTCTTCGCAGTCATTTTTTTCAACTTTAAATAGATTTACTTAAACAAAGAAAAAAATACTCAAAAAAGTGTTGGTGTCTACTTCCTAGCAGTGAAAAAAAACTAAAAAATATCACAAAAGACACCTTTATAGTAGCGGTTACTATCAACAAAACATTTTTGTTTTGATCAAACAATCTTCACGCAAAATTTTTTTTGTGTTGGTAAAAAGATTTGTTTTGTTTTATTTTCTCGTCGCAGAAGCAACAGTGGAAAGATGAAAATGTAAATAGTTGACACATTCGAAGCAATTTCGTCTCAAATGAGAGAACCATCAAATAGTAAAACAAAGAATTTGAATAAAACAAACGGTATGGATCTGAAATTAGCTTGTTGTATGACTATACGATATGAAATTTTATTATTATTTATTTTAATATAAGATTTTTCGTCGTCATTATTAATTTTGAGAATAGAATTTTGTTTCTGTAAATAAAAAGACAATAAATAAATTCTAATTTCAAATAAAAATAAAAAAGGAAAAATGACTTAAATCAATCAAATGAAAGAAGGGAGTGGGTGTGAGTGTGAATGAGGTTGATAGAGAAGAAGAGACATCTACACCTACCCACACCCACACCCACATCCTTATGAGAGAACTATTCATTTATGATAAGAGTATAGGTTCGTTTTCCTCAAAGAATATAATTATATGACATCACTGGCAAGATTTGAAGATAAACAATGAATCATTCTCTATGATCAGCAAAGCATAAAATAAATATAGTTTAAAATTTACAATTTTATTTAAATATTTTAAAATCTTTTTCTAAATGAAAGTTTATAATCAAAAGGTGCACGTGTTAAACTTGTATGATAAAATATTTTTGAATTAATTTCTTCATTCTTATTGACAGCATGAAAATCATATTGTCTAATAAAATTACTGAAGAAAAGAAAAAGTTCCATATTTGCTAATGATTCACCAGGACAAGATTTTTTTCCAATTGAAAATGGAATAAATCCTGCAGGACGTTGAATTGGTTTATGATCATCTGTTAGAAATCTAGTTGGATCGAATTGATCTGAATTTGGAAAATATCGTTCATCAACATGACAAGCATAGAAATTAGCAGCTATATAAGAATCTTTCGGTATATTATATCCATTTAATGTTGTAGCTTGTAAATTTCTATGCATTGTACTTCCACCTAATGTTGCTATATTTCCACAACGTTGAATTTCAAAAATAGTTGCTAATGTATATGGTAAATATTCTTTATCTTCCATATGAATAAATAAATTATGTTGCTTATTATTATTCATATAATTATCAATTTCTTGTTGAACATTATTTAATATTTGAGGATTTTCAATCATATAAACAAAAGCCCAACGTAATGTTGTTGATGTTGTTTCTGTTCCACCAATAAATAAATTTGTTATTGATGTTATTAATTGATCCATATCAAATGTTGAATCTAATTTATTTGATTTCTTATCAATATTTGCTTGTTTTAAATATTCATCAATATAATCTTTTGTTTCATCAATATTTTCATCATGATTTTCAACAAGTTTTTTTGCAAATTTAAAAATTTCTTTAAAATTTTTTGAAAATTGTTTATAATTTCCTCTTAAAGATTTCATAGGTATAAATCTAAGTAATGGAAATATAGTTATCCATGAATCATGTGAACCAAGTGTAAAACATTCTTCAATTAAACTAACAATATGATGAAATTCTTGATCATTATGTGAAAAACGTTGTCCAAAAGCAAATCCACAAATAATATTTGAAAGACCATGGGTTAATAAACCTTTTATATTCAATGGTTTTTCATTTTGTTTATCAATAGATAAAAAAATATCTTTGAGTTCATCTAAAATTGTATCTTGTAGAAAATGTTTTCCCATTCCAAATTTTTTTAATGTATTCATTGCAAATTTTCTATGAATTAACCAACGTTCACCATCAGCATAAGTTAAACCTTTACCATGAAAATGTTCTTCAAATATAAATGGTTGAGCACGTGCTGAATAATTATCATCAAGAAATGCTTGTTTTATTAGATCATAATTATTTAATACAATGACTAATTTTTGTCCAAAATAACAATGAATTATATCACTTTGACGATTCTGACACCATTTTAATAAAGTTTCTTGAGGATGTTTACCAAGTGAAAACAAATGACCAAATATTGGAATTGAATAGTCTGTTGGACCAGGTGGAAGATTCCTTTCTTTTTTAATAATCAGATAAATAATATAGAGAATAGATAATATAGAAACTAATATGAGATACATCGTTACAATTAAATTTATGAGAAAAATTTTACTCTTTATATACAACCATAAATATACGTATTTGCTACATCATGATGATAGAGAGAAACACCTTTGTATTATATGATATCATTTGTTACCTTTGAAAAATCGTCATATCATCATATACGCCTTTATTCTATGAAACACGATATAGACATACAAAACAGAGAGATTAGGTCTACCGATATTTTCGTGCTTTTTCATAACAATTACAAAGCATGATTTTTAGAGTATAGATGACTCGACAAAAACCAAATTGAGTTACGAAAAATAGAACTCGTAGAATTTTATTTAGACTAGATCTTCGAGTGAATAGCCAATGGAATTACTTGAGCCCATTTACGTTAAAATCAAGAATATAACAATCTATTTCAATAAATCGAGAACATCTAACAGAAAGTGAGTCATAAAAAATAATGTCCATTTAGTAGAGAAAAATGAGAATCTGTTTGATTATTATTGAGATTTACTGTTTCAAAGCTGTTCTCTATATTTCAAATGAATCTATAAAAGAAGATATAATTGGGAACAAGTTCGAAATAGTAAACTTCATATAATATTGTCATAGATCTGTGTATTTCAATAATTATATTTATCGAAACATATTTTATTTTATAATAAATTCGATGAGTAGAACTTATAGATATGTATCGTATTTCTTAATAAATAATTCACTTAATAAATTAGTCATGAAGTATTAATCAATCGAATTTGTCATATCATGATGATTCACGATTGTTGTACTTTTACGCAAGAGAACGATGTCTTATCTTATTGTATTCTGTTCTATACTACAATGCAGTTTTTTTGCATTAAAAACGGAATAACATGTCTACTACACCCTAGGCTTAAAAGTCCATTTGTAATTGATTCTTGGAAGAATCCTTATTTTTTCTGTATTAGTGTATCTATTCTCTTATTTTGTCTGGATAAACAATAGATGAATGTATCTTATTCACCTACATCGACAGAAACCATATCAAACTTTTTCATTGCTTAAACTCTATCCTGTTTCTAATATAATAAATACAATGAGATTGTTTTTGTTTATCTAGTTTTCTCAAAGACTTATTTACCTCAAGATGAAAATACAGTGTCGAAATAACTGTCCTGAAGTTGGATTCACTTCTAGATTACTCCACAAGAAAATGGAGAATATAATATAGATAATGCCAATTTTCCTCCACGAATTATTTTTATTTTTTTACATTTGGAATCTTTCGGAAGTATGTCACTAAATTGCTTTTGTTTCGTATCAAACAAGTAAGCAACATTTTAGGTGTGAGCATCTGGTATCCACCGAATAGCTATGAATTGAAGTTGTGCACTGATTATTCTATCTAAAGTATCTTTGAATAAACTAACAGGATCAAAATCAAATTCAAGTAAACTTTGGATACACACACCCACACCCTCAACTGGTGTCTTCTAACGCAGATTTAGGGTTTTTTCTGTTCTTTTCTTTAATGACAGAATGAGCACATTAAAATACGAACACGTGCTAGTTGTAAAAATCCTTCGCAAGCACACTATCTATCTTTTTTTCTTTTGAAATTTTGTGTGGGTATGGCTGTGAATTGTTGTTCTCTGTTTAACTCGCATCCACTGACACCCTGAAGTAAAACTGCATATTTACCATCAGTTTCAACCAGAAAAAGCTTTTGTTCTGTTGAATAACAAAATATGTCGAAGAACGAGAAAAAAAATGACTCAAAACAAATATTGTGAAATAACCGATAACGTGCACTTATTTCATTTGCTATTCAATAGATGAAGTAGATATGGTGTTATTATCGTCTACTCTCGAAACATTGCCCGATGAAATACTTATGATTATTATCCGATATTCTGACAATATTACGTCAGTCTTTCGTACGTTTTCTGGTCTAAATCAACGCCTGAATCGAATTCTTGTTGATCGACGTTTACATCTCCTCACTGATCTCTTGCGTGTTAACATTAGAAAAATTAATTTCAATTATTATTATAATACTCCATTATTCCATGACTTATCGGAACAATTATGCTCATTACAAGGCGATGATTATATACATCAACTCGATCAATGTTTTCAAAGATTAATCAGCTTTCATATTCAAGAAAAATCTCGTCAAATCGAAGAACAATTTCGATCTGATAGAGAACAATTCCGCTTGATACGTGCTAATCTCACCGATAAAGAAATTCACTCTCGCGATGCAGAATTGAAGAAAGCCTTCAATAATTTAGAATCGCATTCGCTCAATTTTGAATATCTTCAACAAATCGGAGATCTTGTTGTTGGTACTGGTGCTCGGCTTGAGTGTACTAATTATGAACTTGGCGAATACAATCTGGCTAAAGCACTCAATCAACATGTTCTAGCTCATCTCTATACCATTGGATATCCGAGTGGATCCTGCCTACGTTCCATTCAGAGATTATTCAAAGCATTGATCATTTCCAATCCAAACCTCGTCAACAATAAAGACTATGTGGGCAATGGTGGTTCTCTCATGTATTATTTTTTAATTTATGCGGTCTTTCGACTACAACACTTCCCTCGTTTTCCACCACTATCGATGGGAATTATTATGCAAAAATATGACACGATACTGGAATTATTATTATTCATCATTCAATGTCTAAAGCAAGTTTTTGATAAGGAGTTGTGGATAAAGGATTGTATTTTGGATAGCTTAAATGTAGTTAATTCGATCAGAAATGACGCAGATGAAAAGATTTTTATTCAATACAGTCAAATGGAAGTATTGAAAATATTCTTGCAGGAAGTGACTGGAAAAGAAATATTATTGGATGATTATTCGAATTCTGTGTTTCAAGAAGGATTAACGAATTTAATCGACACTAATCGAATTGATATTATCGAATATGTTTTTCGTCAGAATAACTTCATACATAATTTTTTTACTCGATCAGCCCATTGTTACAAACTGATTAATACAATAACTGGAACTCTAAGCAGACGAAAAATGTTTCAACGTTTTCTAGACGAGGAAGCGCCTCAACCATGGCTTACAAGTGCGGCACTATTATCTATTCTATTGAAAAAGAAAGAATGTAAATGGATTAAAAAATTATTACAATTAGACTCAAAACTAATTCATGAAGTGGATGAAGATGGTAATGATCCATTACTTTATATCTGCCTTAAAGTGAAGGGTTGTCGACATCGTCTGATCGAATGCTTAATTGACATGGGATGTGATATACATAAAAAAAATGTTCACGGCGAACATTTTCTTCAAGCCATTCAACTGAAAAGAAATAGAAAATTACTGAAACAGTTAATTGAACATGAAATCATCGTAAGAGAGAATGAAAGTGAACAATTACGTCTTGCCAGTCAAAACTAAGATTGTATTCCTCTTTATTGTCGTTAGAAGAAGAAAGATCAGTTCATGATATAACAGGATATGAACTAAATTCAAGGGAGAGGTTTTTAATCAATAAAAAGTGTTTTTCAAGAAATTAATGTTTCATTTTTGATAGAATAAAAAATAACTTTTGTGTGTACTCAAAGTGTGAGTACACCCTGTTTATAAACGACCCAATTGTAATCTTTCTTTATAAAACACAAAAAGAAGATGGTATTATGAATTTTGTCATATACAATCAAAGTAATTATGTCATGTTTTTTCTTCGTTACTTAATATGTATATATTCAAAGAAAATATTTTATGTTTAATTTATTTGTTACATTATCTACCGGTTTTTTTCATACAAATTTTCTTATATGAATAAATAATTTTAATCTACAAATTCATTTTATATTTCTTTATGTAAAAGTTTCTTTAACTTATTTCATCTTACAATTCAATCATTATGAAGTATAAAAATAACTAATCTTTTCTGCTTTATTCACTAGTTTTTAATTAGTGTTTGTAAGAGAATGAAAGTTTTCTTTTACCTGACACGAGTCATAAAATAAATCGGCTTTTACTTATGATAAGCTTTTTGCTGCTATTTGTAGAATCAAAACTAATATCATGCATTCGTCATAAAGTCATGTCTAGATTCTTCTGTATGACAGCAATCCGATAATAGAAAGTCCTACGAGAACATTTTTTTCAACACATAAAAACACTTTCTACTATTGTATTTATCTCAAAGCGCGACGACAAGATTTCTCCATAATTGTCGATTTATTTTCGAAGATCAAAACTATACAACTTCTACCGTAGGTAGTATTCTAAAAATCGTTTTCCCTGAGTCCATAGAAAACTTTCTTACTAACTGTTAGAATTGCTTTAGATGTTTTTTTGGATCGATTCAGATATTTGATTTAAGAGAAAACCTTTTTTATGTAATCCGTACTGTATAACTAAGAAACTATGAACTAAAAGTCTAAAATAAATCTACTATAGCTTCTGATGTTTCAATAAATAATCTTTCTAATTGAAATTGCGATGAAGTATGAACAATATTCTCCGCTTCAGATTAGCAAAAAAGTTGATAAGGATTTCATGTTTGAAGAAGAAAAGAATTAAATGATAATGTTCTTTGTTTATCAACTAGTATTTTGACAGAGAGTATAGTGAAGAGGATTACATTTTTGTTTCAACTATGAACGTTCAGTCCAAATAAACTCTCATTTAGTAAATGCTGATGTAAAAGTCAGTTGCATGATCTATAGTATTTAAACTCTTCAAATAAATTACTTCTTTATTTTCACATAGATAAAATGAGTAACACATCTTCATCTTCTTCAATAAATTTTGCCGCATTAAATCAAGCTATTAATCGTTATGTTCCCATACCTTTCTTGTTCTTGGGTGCAATTGGAAACATTTTCAATATATTAATATTTACACGTAAGGTATTTCGTAATAATATTTGTGTCAATTATCTTTTGGCATCAACAATCTTTGATTCTTTTGTCATTATTGTTGGACTTCTACCTCGGTTACTCAATGGCTTTAATATGGATCCATCACAAAATTCAGTTGTTCTTTGTAAACTGAGATTTTTTATAACATATTTTTCAGGATATGCAGCTGCCTGGTATGTTAGTTTCGCCTGTATTGATCGATATCTCTCTTCATCCATAAGTATTCAGAAACGGAATATTATGACAATGAAACGTGCCTATTTATCTCTACTATTTGTTATAATACTTGGATTTGTTGCATTTAGTGAACAATTCTATTGTATTGATATTGGTCAAAATCTATTCGGTGCACCACAATCATGTTATCAACTGAAACAAAAGATTTCATGTCAAATTGTTGATTCTCTTATGCAATTTATATTCGAAATCTTATTACCTGCATTAATGATGATTATATTTGGATCCTTGACTTTGAAAAATATTCATCAAAGACGTCGTCGTGTCCACACACAACAGAATGCCAATACTTTAGCTACAATAGATGCATTGACAGCAGAGAATCATCCATTGGAACTGCAACAGACAGTACAGACAATAACCAATTTGAATAGACCAGCAATTCCATTGAAAATTAATCGAACAGCACGGAAACGTGATGCACAGTTGGTTACAATGTTAGTCGTACAAGTAAGTAATATAAAACAAAACAGATGGAGGAAAAAACGAATTTGTTTTTTTTATAGGTTGCTGTCTTCATCATTTCTGCATTTCCAATTAGCATTTATAAACTCTATTCTATTGCAACCATTTATGATACAAAATCTGTTCTACAGAAATCAATCGAAAATACCATCTATAATTTTTGTGTAATAAGTTTATTCCTAAATAATAGCATCGCGTTCTACATCTATACTTTAAGCGGTACAGTATTTCGAAAGGAATTAATGAAATTATTTCGTTTAGCTTAAACAATGGATTTATTAAACAAAACTATTTTCGATGTTGTTTTATCATTTTGTTTGTTTAGTTTAATCCTATACTCAACCTCTTTCTTGTTCTTCTCAATAGTTTATCTTGTAGAAAATTATTTTTCTTTCATTGTTTTTATTGTCTAATCGGAAAATAAAAGAGAAGAATAATTTAATATACAAACTCAGTTCAAAGCGAAAAAAATATACATCTTTAAAATCGTGTTTTATTTTTACATTCATTATTCATCGATTGAGGGTGGGTGTAGATATTTTATTTCAACCACACTCACACCCTCAAGATACAACTAATGTTACAGAGATTGTTCAGATTATTCTTAAACAGAAGAAAAGATGTATCATTTGTCTTATAATTTAATGCTTGATATGATTGTTGAAAAATAGTTTCAATCAAAAAATAGTCTTATCGATGTATATGATATCGTTTTTATCATGAAATAAATTAAAATGTATTTTTTATGATTGAGGACATGAGTCAATTGAATTTTGTCCACAATGATTAGAATAATCGTCGATGATCACTCGTAAATCAGTATCCATTGTTGACATCATGTATTTGCAATATATAGAGATATAGGATACTTTCGAAGAGAGTGACATTGATGATTTCATAAATCATATTTATTACTTTACCTTTTCGTTTTTTTGTTACTCTCAGTTTTATTATTGTGAAACAGAACGAGAGTAGTAACATGTCTTCAAAATTCTTCATCTTCTCCGTTTTCGTTCTGAGTGTATTAATTGTACCAAGTACTCACGGATGGGGAATAGAAGGACATACTCTAGTTGCTCGTCTTGCTCAAAGTCAATTAACGAAAGAAGCATTTGACTGGATTCAATTTCTTCTTCCTCCTAATTTATCAGGCAATTTGAGTGCTGTAGCAACTTGGGCGGATGAAATTCTCTATTCAAACAATCATCCACTTGGCTCGTCCAATCTTTGGCAATGGTCTCGTCCACTACACTATACTAATACACCTGATTGGAATTGCAGTTATGATCCAGTGAGAGACTGTATTAACGACGTTTGCATCGAGGGTGCATTACGAAACTATTCGCAACGTGCTATCGCTGCTGATCTGGATTATCTTCAACATCAACAAGCTATCGTGTTTCTTGTTCATTATGTTGGTGATCTACATCAGCCGTTGCATGCTGGTTTTCAGGGAGACGCTGGAGCTAGTCAATTCTACGGTAGATGACAATTTCTGAGTACGAAAACTGCTTAAATGTTCTTTAATCTATTTAGTTTACTTCATGAATACTAGAAGAACTCTTCACTCTGTATGGGATACTTATCTGATTCGTACGCGTCTTTCACGTGATTTTCAATCGAATACTAGTCTTTACTACGATTATATTTACGCGCTGATGCTGAATCAGACTCTAGAACATCCTGATCAGAATTTTATAGAATGGACTGATGAAAGTTCGAAAATTGTCTGTGAACAAATCTATTTCGACGAGAACAATCAACCAATGAATACATCGTTCACTATTCGATTGAGCGATGGCTATTATCAAAGAAATATAGCAATGGTTGAGCAACGTCTTATGCAAGCAGGTCAACGATTAGGTGCTTTATTCAATTTTTTAGCTTCTAATCGTTCGGATGTGTCATTTACAACACCATCAGAAAACCAATCATCTCCAACAGACTTATCATCAACGTTCGCTTCAACCGATGAGTTTTTATTCAACGAAACATCATCAACCGAACTGTCCTCAACCAGATCATCATCAACAGTATCATTTACAACTGTCACATCGTCATCAATGATACCATCGTCATGCAAAAATACCTCTTTTGACACATTCATAATCATCATGACACTATGTATCGCTTTTACTGTTGCGGTTTAGATTTTCATGTTAAATGAAAAGAATAAAGAAAACATTTATCTTTTTGATCCTTCAATAAAATTTATTTATACCCACATCCGCACTCACCACATTTATCTGTACATAGAATTTTTCGATTCATCTTAGTATCGTTTTCATTAATCATAAAGATAAATTTGAATAATTCATATATTAAGGTTGAAATGATAAAACAGAAGAATATCTTTATAAATGAGAAGTATTATGTTTCAGAAAAAATAATCGATTTAATGATTATTTCATCAATTATCGTTTGACAAAACTTATTTCCTTGCATGCTGATTAATTTAATACTATCTAAATCTTTGTTTGATGAGAAAAATTCTTGAATATCTAATTAAAATGAGCTGTAAAAAGTGAGATTATATGTTGAATTTATTTCTGTTGTGTTTAAATAAAGAAACAAAAAATAAGAAATGAAAGTGGATAAGATGTATTTTTCGTATATTGCGACATATTGACGAAACACTATTTATTGCAAGTTTAATATTCTTCGCCATCGTTTTCTCCTTCGCCGCCCTATGAAAGAAACAATGAATTAGAAAGATGGAGAGAAAAAAACTTTTCTTACTTCAACACTATCAGCACCAACTTCTTCGTAATCTTTTTCCAAAGCGGCCAAATCTTCTCGAGCTTCGCTGAATTCTCCTTCTTCCATACCTTCACCAACATACCAATGAACAAATGCTCGTTTAGCATACATTAAATCGAATTTATGATCAAGTCGAGCCCATGCTTCTGCAAAGATAAAAATCATTGAAAGAATAAACAAATCGAATAGACATACCAGCAATTGCTGTTGTACTTGAAAGCATACAAACAGCTCGTTGTACTTTAGCAAGATCACTACCAGGAACAACAGTTGGTGGTTGATAGTTGATACCAACTTTGAATCCAGTCGGACACCAATCAACAAATTGAATTGTTCGTTTTGTTTTGATTGTTGTAATGGCTGCATTGACATCTTTTGGAACAACATCACCACGATATAACATACAACAAGCCATGTATTTACCTATCAACAGAAAATAATTAAATATGAAACAAAAAGAAAAGAAAAGAAACAAACCATGTCGTGGGTCACATTTAACCATTTGATTTCCTGGTTCGAATACTGAATTTGTAATTTCAGCTACTGATAACTGCTCATGATAAGCTTTTTCAGCAGAAATAATTGGTGCATCTAAACAACAGAATAACAATTAATACGATAAAGAAATAAATAATTCTATAACTTACATGTAACAAGTGGAAAATGAATTCGTGGATAAGGAACAAGATTTGTTTGAAATTCAGTTAAGTCCACATTGAGAGCACCATCAAATCGAAGTGAAGCAGTTATTGAACTAACTACTTGAGCAAGAAATCGATTTAGATTTGTATATGTTGGTCTTTCAATGTCTAAATTTCTTCGGCAAATATCATCTAAAAATAATCATATATTAGATTAAATTAAATACATCATCGTGTTCAGACCAGATACGATGTGTTAAATCTAAGTTCTCTATCCATTTGAATTGGACCAAAGAATCTCTTCGAAGCTTATTTTAAAATTTTAGTGAAAAACCAATCTTTCATGGTGCTATTTTGAGATGATAACTATTCATAAAAGTTTCTACTAATCGAGATTTACTCTCAAGTCTTATGTGTACTATCTGACTGGGTAATAGTATGTTTTGATTGATTGTTTCTGTTTACAAAGTGCTTCATTGTCGACCATAAATGCACAATCTGAATGTTCAAGTGTTGTATGTGTTGTCAAAATTGAATTGTAAGGTTCGACAATAGCTGTTGAAATTTGTGGAGCAGGATAAATTGCAAATTCAAGTTTGGTTTTCTTTCCATAATCAACGGATAATCGTTCCATCAAAAGTGAAGTAAAACCCGAGCCAGTTCCACCTAGAAATAAAAGTATTGTTTTAAAAAACACAAGAAAAATTCCAAGGCGATGATTTACCTCCAAATGAGTGAAAAACAAGGAAACCTTGTAATCCAGTACATTGATCAGCCATTTTTCGTAGACGATCAAGAACAAGATCAATTATTTCTTTTCCAACTGTATAATGTCCACGAGCATAATTATTTGCTGCATCTTCCTTGCCCGTAATCATTTGTTCTGGATGATATAATTGTCGATATGTACCAGTTCGAATTTCATCTTAACAAAGAAATATTTATTTATTTATTTATTAAAAAAAATGAAAAGAAAAAGACGATTTACCAATTACGGTTGGTTCAAGATCAACAAATACAGCTCGAGGAACATATTTATCTGATCCTGTTTCTGTAAAGAAAGTATTGAATGAATCATTTTGACCACCAATTGTTTTATCTGATGGCATTTGTCCATCAGGTTGAATTCCATGTTCAAGACAGAATAATTCCCAACAAGCATTGCCAATTTGAACACCAGCTTGGCCGATATGGATTGAAAGACATTCACGCATTTATAATTTTATTTTCTTGTTTTTATCTGTGAGAAGAGATAACGAATGAAGAAGAAAAAAGATAAACACATACGCTCTTATTCTATTCTCTTGCGCAAGAGGACAAAGAACAACGCATATAGAAGAGGAGGACGATGACTCATATGTACGCACACATAGATGACGTGCTCGTCTTTTCTTCGTTTATTAACGAATACATAATAAATGTATCTTGATAAAAAAAAAAACATATTGTAAAACTTTACAATTTCTAATAGTGGTCTTGAATTACATTAGAAAAATAATACAGATTAAATTTTTCAATTAAATCGATATACATTCACATCTATTAATTAATGCACCAATGAAAACTTAGATTGTACCACTCTTATGTAGTCAAAATGCATAAATATAACACACTTTTACATAATGAAATACAGTTGTTTGTTTTGAGTTTAATACATTAAAAAAAATCCTTCTTTTATAAGTTGTATTTAATTAAACATCAAATATATATATAAAAGAAGAATATTTAAACGTTTAATAACATTTCAATGAAACATATTATCGATTAAAATTAAGATTATAATCCCTCAAAGGACTGATTTTAGTCAATATTAATAAAAATATTGATTTTAATCTACATTGATGATAGTCTCACTTGCATGATTAACTCTCAATATTTTGTCTACTATCGTACTTATTCATTTTTTGAGCCGAGGCATTCGAAAAAATGATCAGAAAATTCAATTTGATTAGTAAAACTCGAGGAAAATTTATTTGATTGTCATTGGGATTGAAAAATAAAAGAATCTGGTTGAAATCACATTAAAATATTTTGTTTTAATCGATTACATGTAATTGATAATTGATTTTCAACTAAAATCGAGATAGAAGTAGTTTATCAATCGTAGTCTTCAAAAAAACATATTCTAAAAATGATCAATGAACTTCTATCTTTTAGAAGAAGGTATGGGTATGGATACGGATATAGCAGAAATAACACCGACACCCTCATGTTTTATCTAAATTTGATATTCATGAACCATATAATTTAAATAACTAAACTAAACTAAACCTCGTAAAAAATTATTAATAGTTCAATTCAAATAAAACCGCCAACAATTACTCGAATTCGTTGCTAACTTCGTTTGTTTGTCTGAAAGTTTTGCTCTACAATCAATAATCTATCACTGTACCCAGAAACAAATATCAAAAATAAGAATAACAAAAACTCTTTTATCTCAGTTTATAGAGATATTCGGAAAATACAGCTGTAAGTCTGATTTATGTTTCTACATCTATTACAGTGATCGATAGCAAGTACTTCCAATTCAAATATCATCTACATCATGCTTTTATTAAAATCTACTATTTTCAAAGTTAAAAATAAGTTTCATTATCCTGAGATGATGATATAAATTGTTCAGCTAAAATTATAATTTTATCATGTTTTGAAAATATAACTTGTTCTTCTTTATCTGGATTTAAAACAATTCCATAAAATCTTGTTTCATCATGTAGATATTTCATTAATCGATAACCAATTGCTATACATTCATATTTTAATGTTTCTTGTACAATCTCATAATAACTAATTGGTGTTTCTAATGGAACGAACATTGATGCTGCACATAAATATATTTCAGGACCATGGGTTGTTAATAAAACATCATAAACTTTTTTAATATTTTTATTTTCGGACAATTGTGCAATATATTTTGATATTAAATGTGGACTAACGATAAAATCATCTGCATATGTTATATTTGCTAATTGGCAATTACGTATATCATGCATTTCTATTACTATACTAAATTTCTTTTCATTATTTGATTTATCAATAATATTTCGTAAATGTAATAAACAAATTAAACATTCAGCATCAGCATCTTCACTTAAATTTTGTTCCTTAGTTTCTTCATTTGCTAATAATATAATATAATTATAAGAAAATACATTTAATTTTTCTAAATCAAATTTATTTGTTAAATTTCCAGAATGTACAAATATATTTTGTTCTGTGACTTCATGAACCAATTGTTCATTGATAAATTTTGTTATTTCATCAGAATTTGTTAGTATATGTAGTTCACTACCACGAGCAACATAAGTATCCAGTTCTTTGATAATTAATGGAGCTGTATTATTCCAGCCGAGTAGAAGATTTCGTTCAACATTTTTAGTTGCTCGTCTAATCATTTGTGTTGATAATAAAACTGTATTATGATTAATTACTGGTAGTGATGTTGGTCCTAAATAATCGTTTGATAATATAATTTTATCATCATCTTCAGCAATAACAATTATTTGATCATCAATATTTATTAGTGTATTCAGTGGTGGAAGTATTTTAACTGTTCCATCAGCTAACATTAATCCAATGACTGAACATTTATTATATGAAAATATGGCATCATAAAATGTTTTACCAACAAGTGCACTTTCATATTTGAAATAAATTTCATCATATTCAAATGATAATAAATTTGTTAATATTATACTTAAACCACTTCGTCGACATGACTGAGCTATAATACGTGCAGTTATTTCATCAGCGTAGACAAATAATGCTTCATCTCCTCCTAAAAAAATAAATACGAGTGAACATTTGTGTGAGCAAAGCTACTGGGGAATACTGATGTTCTCTTCATCACTCACTCT